ACAGGGTTCGGGGCTCCAGGTTCCTGATGACGGCCGCCAGGGGTCGACATCCCGTCTCAGCACGATCCTTAATACGACGATTAGGGGATCTTTTGGTCGTAAAGGCCGGCCGGGCTATGCCACCTCCAGCGTTCACGAAGGGAGTCTTCATGCGGACAGCCTGCACGAGCGGGATAGCGAAGAAGACTTTCGGCGTATGATGGAACAAGACTCCGATCGGCTGGAGAACGTCCGCGCTTGCTGCGACGGCAAGCACGATGTCAGCTCACTTTCCAGGACGAGTCGTTATAGCCCACGCGTCAATCGAATCCACTCGCATCACTGAACCAGCAGCTGAGCTGTTGTTGACGTCCACGAGTCTCTTTTGTGCAAACCTCGCACTATCATCCGGCCCCTTTTTGATATACTGCGAATTTGTTAAGCGTGCAAATCAGCATCTGTGTCTTCTGACCAGCTTCGTCTTCATTCTTCTCTAACTTCGAGTATCTGCATTCAGCTATCGCAACCTGTCATACGCACCCGCATACTCATGCCGTTGGCTTTTTGGAACTTAACCTTGTGGACATTCTCCCTACTCTTCGGTGCCTGTTCTTTCTCTGCCGTTCTTCTGCACACATTGCATCATGAAATTTTTTGGCCTCTTTTTCCTATGTTTCTATCATCAGCCTGACATCCACCTCGGTCGATCCTTCGTTCTGGCTTGACTCTTCCCATTATACAAATTCTGTGCAAGTATTGCGCAAGTCTACCGCTCTGTATCCTTTTCATTTCCATTTTTCTGTGAACTTGGCTCATTTCTGAGACTGTAATGACGGCGAGAATGACTGGTTATAATAGGGTTGTATCACCACGTTGCTGTTGGCCGTCAGTGTTCTTGATTATTGTGATTCTATCTCTGCTTGCCATAGACGCAAGGCGCAGGAAATGTTCTAGGCACCGATATGAAATTGAACATCAAGGGTTCCGACAGTGTCTCATGCTGTAGTTATATCATCCTATCTGCGAGGTGTTCATATCGGCCATTGCTATTTTCAAACACCGAGTTGGTTTCCTGAACGGGATTCGCGTCGGCGAGTCGGCGATTGCGCATATCATTTATCTTGGCGTCTCTCTCCACAATCTATCAATTATCTGCATTTACTATTCTACAGACTCCAACCTTCTCTTTCGCGTGACAATAGATAGACGAATACACCCAAACATAAGGTCAACATGACGGCGCACGAGCCCACCACGAAAGAATGGATCCGGACGCTGATTGAACCTGGCCAGCTGCTGGCTTGGGCCATGAGCTGTGAGTCTACATCGCCGCTAGTCTATACACAATTATGAACAGCCTTTCGCAATTCTGGGTAGATGCGCGCAACTGCTGTAGTGCTTCAACTAGACTTGCTATCCCTCCATTCCTACTCTATAATCAAATTATACATCCAATCATTGAAAAGAACTGAAAAAGATATACTAACATCCACAGATTACACCAAAGTCTGCTTCGAAGCAGTCTTCCGTCGGGGCGAAGTCCTCGCCCCGCTCCTACAAACAAGCAAGCTCCGCGACGAAGCCTTTGGCCGCTTCTGGGTTGATTTCAGCTGTACGCCCTCGTCACCTTCCCCATTGACAGCGATGCCAACGGAGTACCGATACTAACCAACTAACGTGCCCAGCCGCCCGCCCAACAAGCACCCAACAACAAAACCAAGAGCAAGACCAAACCAAAGATCAAGCACCGCTCCAGCCACCTCAAATCCAAAACTCAACGGACCTCATCCCACCAATCCTAGCCAGAGCGTCGGGTGTCGTGCTGGACGTCGGCCCAGGGACAGGCACGCAGATGCCGCTCCTGCGCCTGCGCGCACCCGCCATCAAGGCGATTTTCGGCGCGGAGCCGTGCCGCGGTCTGCATGCGGAGCTGCGCGCGCGCGCGGAAGAGGAGGGGCTAGGGGAGAAGTACCATGTTCTGTCCTGTGGTGCTGCGGCGGGGGAGCTCGTGCCGGAGTTGCAGCGGGAGGGGCTGCTTCCTGCCGGGGATGTGGAGCGGGTTCTGGCGAGCACGAGCGGGGTCTTTGATACGATTGTGTGTGTGCGTGTTTTGTGCTCTGTGCCGGAGTTGGAGAGGACGGCGCGGGAGTTGTATGCGCTGCTGCGGCCTGGGGGGCAGTTGCTTGTTGTGGAGCATGTGGTTAATCCGTGGCGGACGGCGAAGGGGTCGATTGTGGCGAGAGTGATGCAGGCTGTGTATGGGTTCTTTGGGTGGAGTTGGTTTATTGGGAATTGCTGCTTGGATCGGGATACGGAGACGGCGTTGCGGGCGGCGGCGGACAGGGATGGGGGGTGGGAGGTTGTGGAGCTGGAGAGGTGGTTTGGACGGTCTCCGATACCGTATATTTCCGGTGTGTTGGTGAAGAAGAGTACGTAGATGAGTGAACGGCTGTAAGAAAAGAAAAAGTTCGGAATTCATTCATGTAAGTACATGCATCTAGGGTATCATGGTCATAACATCTCGAACAGACAGGCTGCAACGATGATTAAGAAGGAAAAGAGATATAGTCAGCTGGGTTTCGGCCGTCCCGGCGGCCAGAAATCGAAGAGATCGAGAGCCTCGGACGTCCAAGGCCCCTGTTCTGGCGGCTGCTCCTCGATTGGGTATGTGTCGACCGAGTCCCTGGACAGCAGGGAGCGTGATTGCACACTGGTGCTCGTCGTCATCGCTGTCGGATCAGACAGGGCTTTGCGGAGTCCTTTGGACGTGGTATTCGGTGGATGCATGTTTTGCGTCCTGGCACTTTGGTCGATTGATGATGATCCAAGCACCCTCAGTTGACCAGGGTTATTGCTCGTTGTTGGTTGTAAGGTTTGCATCTTCGCTGCAGACGTCGTTGCATCTATCGTATTTTGTGCTGTAGGACACCCCAGCGGCTCTCTATGGAGAATCTGACGTGGATTGCGCACTGGACCGTCAGCCACCGCTTCCAGAACGAACATGGTGGACTCAGTCGGTATGAACTCCATATTAGTCGAGGTAGGATCCGGAGTCGGAAAAGGGTCGCTCTCGCTAGACAAGTTAGCCAACGCCCTGGTGACGTCTCAGAGCACATACTAACTGTGGTCTCGACTGTGTTGGCACGATTTTCCTGTCTTGAGAGGACGAGGGCACCGTACGTGCTGCTTTTCCAGGTGCCTGGCTAGGGAGCAATGCCTGATACATGAGCTTCTTACGAGGCTGGCTTGTGGGTAAGCGGAGTGTTCTAGTTGGCGCCTCCGAAGATGAGTGCGCAGAGGACGGTCTTGATGCTGAAGGCGGGGAGTTGTTTGACGAGTTTTGATGCTTCCCGACCTCGCGCGGAACATTGTCAACGACTGAACCTTTCATTACCGGTAAAGCAGGTCCATTTGAAGCAGGATTCTTCTTCGGCAGAGAGACGGTTTCTGCGATTTTGTTCGGCTTCTGTGGTCTTTCTGGTGCGTTCTCATCGGGTGACTCGGACAAATCGACGAGAACCGGGGGATTGACGACCGAGCGGCTTGGTTGTTGCTCAGTCGGTACTTCAGCCGGGGTGGTCTTTTGACGCTTTGCCGCTCTTTCAGACGCTAACCGATTGTCTTCTTTCTGCTTCTGTCGTTGGCGTTCCTCGTAGGGCGAAACAGACAAGCCAGCATGTGTTTTCCGAATGCCTAGGACATCATTGAGGGACCGCCGCTGTTGCGAGGATATCGAGGACCGGAGCGGAGCAGAGGTACGAAATGAGGGAGCTGACGGGTCCGCTGCTTGGGTAGGTGACTCCTGCGTCTTCTTCTTATTGTTGTACAGCGTCGACAGGTCTGTGCGTGTCTGCTCCACCGGCTCACAAACTTGGATCAGCACGCCTTTGTCCAGCTCCAGCTCGTCTCCGTCCTGAATCCCGTCGTCCTGTCGCCAATGCAAATCTCCGATGAAATAGCCGGTGGTGTCGTAAACCATGACCCGCTTGTTGAATGTATGGTACCGGAGGAAGCCATCGTGCCAGCGCTTCGCTTTGCGTCGGACATCGTGGGTGAAAAGGCATCGAAATTTGATGACGGGCGCGGTGTTCTGCGTTGCGGGAACGTTCAGACTGGGGGTGCCACGCGGGGTTGCTGCTGATGATAAGGGGATCGACATGGCCAGAGTTTGGCGTCCCTCTGATGGTGCACCATCGGATCCAGAGCAGGAGATAACCGTGTTGACCGAGTCTGGATGTTGAACCAAGTGAGGGACGCGATGACAACGCGGAACCAGAAAAGAGAAAGTAGGCGCGGGAGCCTGAGGCTGAACTGTGGGGTTGGCCAGTTGACAGTCTCGACTTTTTCCGTGGTTCGTGGATCGTGGATAGAACGTGATGAGGGCAACGTTTCCTGTTCCTGATTGTCACAATACAATGTTGAATTATGGATGTCTCATTGTTTTCCCTTGATCCTCCATCTACAAGGAGCAATCGAATCCACTGGGACAGATGGTGATAATGCCACCCTTGATTGTCAATCAGGGCTATAGGAATAGCCTAGGAATAGCCTTGATCGACACACCTCCTGCCAATCTCCACGGATGCCACGCCCAAACACAGATCGCAGCTCCAAAAATAGTGGACTGGGAAGGGGTCTGTGGCGGGGTCTAGACATGGATCGTAATTTGATGACACGCTGAAACACGGCCATACTACTTTAACTAGGTCCTATCACTGTGATCCGATCCAGGACGCGAATTGGCTGCGTCATCCAGGCTGCTGCTTCTTTTCCTTCTTCCCTTTCTCCCTTGGTTATTATTGTTATGTTTCTTTCTGCCGACTATTTTGCTTCGGCTCCCTTTCCCGCGATTGTTGATTTCTTTGGAACCTAAAGATCATCCCTTTATCCATGGATTCCTCACGGTTGTCAATCTAATCTAACCTCGCTGTTTCTTTTACATCTTTAGCTTCGTTCCCCGCTGTCGCCTGATTCCTACCCCTATCACCACGTAGCATCAAGAAGCTCGACCAACCGACAAGATGCAGAGTGTACAGAGGCAATTTGGCAGGTTTATGAAACGATCCGCAGATGAAAGTCAGGTAGCAATTCTTCTCAAGGACTTTGATGAGACCGACAAGCTATTGGGCAGAGTAAATCTTCCTCTTATTTCTAGCCGACTATCCTTCCCCCCGTGCATTTCGTTTGCAAACTCACCGTCAATAGATCGTCGAGTCGACACGTGCCTGGCGCGATGCGTGGTCATCCATTCTGCTACACCAAGAGCGAATGCTCTGCGAGTTCGACGGTATCTACGCTCCCATCATCGGATCCTCCGATCCGACCACCGCGAAAGCCGCCCCAACGCCCGAAGCCACACTAGCCAGGACGCGCAGACTGCGAGAGGAATACGAAGAGTTGCGCAAGGAGCTAGCGGAGGAGCTTAATGCCGTGGATCAGCGGATGATCAGGCCCGCCTCGCAGGCGAAAGAGTACTTGGCTCCGTTGAAGAAGACCATCAAGAAGCGGGAAGATCGCAAGGTCGCTTGGCCCCCTTTCAGCACTCAAGGCATCGAAGTTAACGTTAAGTAGCTCGACTACGAACGCTATCAAAGTCGCGTCGACAGCTATACCAAGAAGACGAAACGCTCAGACCGGGATAACGCCGCGCTCGCCAAAGCAGAAACCGATCTCTCTAAGGCCACGGAGGTAAGACACTAGCGATTGCAGCGTCCATCTCCATCTAACACCAGCAGGAATACCACGCCGCAGACGAGCACCTCCGGAAGTGCCTCCCTCCCTTAATCAACGCCGCATTCTCCCTGCTCCCCCAGCTGCTAGCCACCCAGATCGAGATCCAAAACACCATGCTGGCACACTACTACACCGTTGTGCACAACTATTGCGAGGGGGAGCACTTCCCCTCCCCCGCTCCACCCATGGAAGACATCATCGCCCAATGGGAACGTGACCTGCACCCAATCCAGCAGGAAATCGAGGCCTTGGGCTGCCTCGCCAACGGCAAAGCCGTCCGCATGTCCCAGGCCCCAGACGACAACGGCAACGTCAACGCCCTCTCCAGCCGCCTCACAAACGGCCTCAATTTCCGCCGTCGCTCAAGCGGACAGGGCGCAGGTACAGGCACATCACATCCAGTGCCGCCACTGCAGCCAGCCGCGCCCTCGATATGCCGCGATCAGGATCGTGGGCGTGAGCGTGAACGTGAACGCACCAGTAACAGCAGAGTCCCCTCCGCTCCAGCGCCAAATTACGAAACTAAACCCCTCCCCGTCTTCGAGACGAAGCCCCGTCTGAACGATCTGACCCCGTCCTCCTTGTCGCCTAATCTCGCCGTGCCTAGCGCGCGTCTCTCCCCCTCAGCGACTCCGCACAGCGACTCCCACCTCCCCGTTCCGGGCTCAGAATACGCCCAGACGCCGCTGAGTGGGCTCTCCCCTAACTCGCGATCGGACTACTTCAGTCTCAACCCCCGAAAACCATCTAGTGGCTCGACAGTTACATCTCCTGGTTTTGCTGCCGCTGCAGCCGCGAAGAAGAAGCCGCCGCCGCCTCCGCCGCCTCGCGCCGGTTCCTCGAATGGAGCCCTGTATGTCACTGCCCTCTATGACTTTGCGGGTCAGAGTGCGGGTGACCTGGCCTTCCGTGAGGGTGATCGAATCCGAGTGGTCCAGAAGACGGACAGCACCGATGACTGGTGGGAGGGGGAGCTGCGAGGAGTCAAGGGGAGCTTTCCAGCCAACTATGTTCAATAAACAATACCCTGTGTATCCATGTCGATACCTCTAAATACTTTTAAAAAGCCCAGATTAGTGAGGAGTACTCGAGAATATTGGCGGTCATAACTCAATTTGACTCCTATGTGTAAATACAGGAAGTATACTGAATAAAGCGCCACTATCGGACCTCGCATGACAAAAGTGACGATGCTTGTCTACAAATGTTTCTGATCCACATGCAGTCCTGGCTGCAGATCAATAATCATACAAAGGCTCCCTCCTGCGCGCCGTCTTCCGAAATTCCACTTTCAATTTGTCTCCGTCGACTGCTCAGAAACATCTCCACCATGTGCTTGCTTGACAGCGGCGAAGGCATGTCGTGTGGATCTCCAAACTGATCCAATTTATCCGGCCGCTCCCCAGCCCTCGCATTCTCGTTGGTCGTTCTTCTAATCGAACGGCACTGCTGAGTCCTCGAATCCGGAGATACTGTAAGACGTCGTGCCGAGTACCGGCGATACCGCTCGCTTGCCAATCCTGTCTGCTGAGAGTCCGCTCCACGCCTCTTAGGGGTGGGAGAATCAAGTGTCTGAAGTCGATTGCTTGACCTCGCCTGCATTGGCGACAGGGCGGGCTCATTCCCGCGCGTGCGTACTCCCGTGGTAGTCAAAGTGTATCCCTGAGAGTAATTCTTCGCACTAGGGGAAGAGAAGACTGAATCCGCGGATGGAGACGCCTGCTCTTTTGCCAGCTCATTTCTAGACGGCACAATCGTACGGACGCTTGACGACCGACTGAATGGCCGGGAGAAATTATTGCTAGGTACAACTTTGCTGTCCGTTCTCATTTCACACTCGGAAATACTCTGAGAGAGATAGCTTGTCTGAGGGTCCGGGGCTTCACTGTTTCCGAACACTTGGCGAGGAGCTGAGGATAGAAAGTCCCCGGCCTCCTCGTGGATCTGTGCATCCTCTCTATAGTGATCCCTAGGGGGAACGATTGTCTCGAATCTTGCCATTTGTGAAGACATCCATTGTTTCCATTCAGCGCTGGGCCGCGCTCGGTTGCCACTGGACGAAGAGCGAGCAATACGCTTTGGGGAGCAGTAAGCGGTCCTCTGGCTTTCATAGATGGTCACCATCCCTGGCTCATCCTCCGTTTCCGGCGAATACAAATCGAGAGTCTGATCTTTCCTTTCAGGAGAGTTCCCACTGGTGGTTCGAGAATAGATACTAGGAGAGTTGGAGAGAGTTTCTGGGTCGGCATGACTTGCGACGATCACGCTTCGGGAATCGTCCTCGGCGTCTTCAGCACTTGCAGCGGCAGGTTCCTCGGCATTGCCGACTGAACTGAAATCCAGGGTTGCGCTCACTTTCTTCGGTGCACTTGATATCCTTTGGGAAGGTATGGACAACCGGGAATGGCGCTGCGTCTGCTTCTGAGGAGTTAAACTACCTGCGTTGGCCGTGGCGAATGTCCTGGAAGTCGCAATTGATGCATCGCTTGGTATCTGGCGGATGGTCTGCCGGCTGCGCCTGGGGCGAAGGGAAGACGTGCGCGCTGGTATGAGTCGATGCTCTTTGACTTGGCCCACTACAGCCTCCTCACTGGGACTTGGCGTATCTTCTCTGCCGATGCGCCTCAACAACGCATCGTACAAGTGCTTACTGTCGATGGAGCCATCTGGTCGTATTGGACTCGGTCTTGGTGGAAGTCCGGAACCGGCACGCCCGTTAAAGTCTCCTTGTTCGTTAATGATGGACAGACAGTCACGCTCGGGTGCTCTGTGGGTTGCGATCGTATTTGCGACGGTTGAGTCAGCCCAACTTGTTACACGGGAGCGGGAAGTCGCAAGACTTTCATTGCTTCGAACACTCCGCACCGTGGGTGGTCTGCTCTGGCCGATGGTCTCACGGGAATGGTCAAATTCATCGGCGTGGCTAAAATCGACATCATATATGGTCGACGACGCCTCATACTCGTGTTGCTGAAGTGAGGAGGGTGAAGCATCCGCTTGCCCCGGAGCCGTTGATGTCTTTGACAGACCCAAAACTCGCTTCAACCCTCTTTTGATAGATGAAGAAAGAGCCCGCGCTTTTCCACGAGAAGAAACTCTCTTGGACTGCCCCGCCGATGACGACGCATCTGTGTCCATACACGAGCCACTGGTAGTGCGAAATGTCTTTCTGAAGGGCTTATGCTCACGTCTCGGCTTGAGCATGGTGATCGACGATTGTCTTTGGCGACTGGGTTGTCCGACCACGTTCTCCTGGAACTGACTGCGTGCGAGTTGGATAGCTGCTTCTTGACTCTGCGTGTGGCGGACACTTCTAGGAGATTGACCACTCCTGAGAAAAGACATAGAGCGTCTCAACGTCCTGTAGGAGCGGGGTGTGTCAAATTGCGCTGTGTCATTGAACCTCCTAGCATATGCATCAGATGAGAATTCGTGAGAGATATACGAAGAGCGCTGCCTGGTTGAGAACATTGAGCGTGCTTTACGAAGCCGGCGATAGGAAGAGGGCAGCGAGGAGTCGCGGCCATCTAGGCCTCGAAACTCACTTATGGGCGGCAAGGCTGCCGAGAAAGTGAGGTCATCGTCGCGGCTCTCTATATAGCTCGCAACGGATCGGCGAGAAGGTGAAGCGTCTTCGACTGATGGAGTCTTGGCCGAGCCTTGCGTGTGACGGGGCGGCCGAGGTGGTCTTCTCGATGGGACTGCCATACTTTCCGGGCCACCTAGATGGTCATACGAGTGCTTCGAGTCTGCAGACGATCTGTTCGAGGAGCGCAGCATGGCACGAGAGGCAGCGGCAGCCGCATGCTGTCTGGCAATAGACGGGTCGAAGGGCTCCGAGGGCAGGGAGGACTGACGCGATCTGCGCATGGAGCGAGCGGACTGACTCCGACGCAGGCGATCTTTTGCGGTCAGGGATATAGAGGACATTCCTGGCATGATTTATTCGAAGGGGATATAGTTGAGTAGTGATGTGAGCTAAGGGATGAGTATGAATGAGAGAAGTCCTACGACACGGAGATACCTGATTGTTGGGACATGGTTTTGAACAATGGCAACCGCGTCGGAATAGAAGGCGCTTGGGGATGCAATAGACGCAACATAATGGCAACAGGCCTCAGGCGCAGCTTCCTTGTTGCTTCAATCTACGCACATTGGCAGTTGTGGCAACAGCCAATTTCTTGCAATTCCTCTGCCTTTACCCATGTCCACGGAAAGAGGAATTAGACCCGAAACGATGTCAGCTCTTCGGTTCAACGTAGCGAACTACTGGTTAACCCCCGGTGATATCTCCTTGCGTGTAGCAGAGACAATCTCTGTTGTGATATGGGCTGTTTTGATTTTCTTGTGATCACTCGTTGAGTAGTAACTTCAGGGTGACTTCCTCTGTGGTACATCTTCATAAGAGAATCGAGAAAGCAAACGGACAGCCTCTTCATTCCCCTTCTTCCGACCCAGTTGAATGTCATCCGGCTCAGGATGTACTCCATAATCGAGCAGAAACCTCAGTATCGGCATCTGGTCATAATAAACCGCAACGTACGCGGTACTACAGAACACCGGCTCCTCCTCAACACACAAGCCGTTGCACCGAATAAAAAGGTCATCCTCTCTGCCGCCAAGCTCCAGAAGAGAGCGACTATCAATCTTCCGAAGAAGCTGGACGTGATTTTTCTCCCATCTGCTGTCATAGCAGTCGCCCAGTCGGTTCGGATCCGCGCCGTGGGCGGTGAACAATCTAACCATTTCCAGGTCCCCCTTGCAAATTGCAGCAAACAGCGCATCACGCGCATAATTTGTCCCATGAAGCCCGTGTTCCAGCAGGAAGCGCAACATGTCCGTATCTCTGCGGTTCATAGCCATCGGCAGAACATACCAGCAATGATTGCACAATTCGTGGCGCAATAGGGTGCGAATGATCCGGCGCTGATTATGCTCGATTGCCCAAAGGAGCGGACACGTATTCACTCCGTAGCAAGAATCTCCCCTCTCACATAGAAAGTCCACAAGGTCCTCGTGGCCGTTCTGCGCGGCGAGATAGAGCGGTGGGATGTTGTTAATGTAGCCCATCGGACACCGGAACATGGTCTGCGCGCCGTGGTCGAGAAGAAGGTTGACTACGCGTTTTGAACCAGCTTGCACGGCTACCAGCAGCGCACGCTGAATGAGCACCGTATCCTCGACCCTCCAGTTGGTGGTGCATAGAGGATGTTTGTACGGGTTGCTCATACGGGGCCCTTGAAAGGACTCGGCGGCGACTGCCATCCTCTTTAGACATTCCCTGGCGAGTCCTTCATCATCATGAGCTGCGGCGCAGCATAGAGCGTCTCCATGGCAAGCTTGGTAGCTGTGTTTGCTGAGATATCCTTGCAAGAGATGGTACAATCCACGAGAGGATAACACGAGGGCCCTGAGGTCCCTGTAACAGACCAGATGGGTGGCGATTAGAAAGACAACTTCATTTGGGAGATTGGAGAGGAACATGGCGAAAATCAATCCGTTTGAATGCAAGTATAAAATGCGTTTGAATTTAGGAATAAAAATGAAGCTGACAAGGCTGGCGAGGCTCTGCGGGGTTTTGATCACTCCGAGGCTGACACTAGATTATACGATGCGATGTGCTTACTGTCATTGTACTGTCTGTACATAACATGAGTAGTATATCCAAAGGGGTCATTTAGAAATACCTCAGTCCTATAGCGAACGACTTCCTGACTCGTGATAAGTCAACCATGCTCCCCAGACATGAGACTATTGCCCTGCTCTTAGGGTATAGACTGTATAATTACCAGGGACTGGGAGCAGTACCTTTTTGGACATGACTACATTTCAGGAGTCTATTCTATTTCTTTGATTGAACACATTTGCGATACCAGTGTAGCTCAGAAGAAGTTTATTTGGCCCACGGATGAATCCTCCAAGCGTTGGCGATGCGTCACTAATTGAGTCATGCAATGGAGTCCAGGCCTGGCTGTGAGTCATGAATCTATACAATAGCGACCGACCCGTAAAAGGCTAGATCACGTTCAAATTATAGATAGCATTGTGTATTGGTTTGTTGGAATATATTTCGCCAAAAGAGGATATATATTTCTAGTCTCCCGTCGACAACACAATGTCTCCACGACCAATAAAGATAAACACACCCCATAAGGTCCTCTCGAACAGCCAGATATGCCGTCATCTCCGACCAGACGAGAAAGGATTCACCTTGACGGCCGCACCCTCGAAGGGGGAGGTCAATTAGTGCGCATCGCGCTGGCCCTATCCACCATCACTGGCCAACCCATCACAATCGACCACATCCGTGGCAACCGCACCGGCAAGAAGGGTCTCAAAGCATCCCACCTGGCTGCCATTAAATATCTGGCGGACGTCAGCGGGAGTGCCGTCTCAGGCGCCGAAGTGGGATCGTCTTCATTGACATATCATCCCCCGCCAGATGCCGAGACCTGTGTTCGGCAGAGGCAAGAGATTAACATCCAGCTTCCAACGGCTGGGTCTATATCACTGGTCTTTCAGGCTTTGTATCCGTATATTCTTCATACGGGGAACTGTATAAGCGACGAAGAACCAGAACCACAGCCCGTCCGTGTGAGCATCACTGGAGGCACGAATGTATCATTTTCGCCGTCGTATGATTACATTTCGCAGGTCCTGGTGCCGAATTTCGCCAGGGTCGGGCTTCCGCCTATCGCGGTCCATCTGGAGAAGAGGGGATGGGCCACTGGACCGCTTAGTCTAGGGAAGGTGACGTTTGTCATTCACCCGATGGACAGAAGTGAGGAGTCTCGTTATGGGCTTCCACCAGTCGATCTAGACAGATACCCCCGGAGCAAAGTCACCCAGATCGATGTGACCGTTTTGGCGCCGGATACGCTCCTGTTTGGTGGGTCTGATCAGCATTCAGAGAGAAAGAAGGGAAAATCGCCGAGATCAGACGATACGTTTCAACATATAACTATCCGCCAACTCATCGAGTATGAATCCATGCGAATGCTGCGCAGTCGACTCCGAAAGATACCCTCCTCAGTAGTCAGACGAGCAAATGCAGATTCTCCAGCAGTCAGATCACATGAGAATGACGAGATTGTACCTATCAGTCTGCACACATCAGAGAGAACGCATCACCGCTCACATATGTACATTCTCATTGTGGCGCATACATCGAATGGGTTCAAGCTCGGTCGAGATGCGCTTTTCGGCGCTCACAGAGAGGATTCTCAGAGAAAGACAGGCGGCAGAAAGGGCCGACCAACAGACGATAGGAGTGTCGCTACGGAACTGGTAGAGAAATGTGTGGATGATTTCGTGAATGAGTTGTATGACCCCGGACTGCAGAGTACATCTGAGAGACGTCAGCCTTGCGTGGACGAGTATATGCGAGACCAGCTGGTTATATTCGAGGCGCTCGGGAAGTCTATATCCAAGTGTGAAACCGATGGCAAGGGCAAAGAGGATGAGAGGTATTATAGTCTCCATACACAAACAGCACGGTGGGTATGCGAGCAGATGTTGGATGTGGAGTGGTAGATGTCACGTATGGAAACTACTGGCTTCCCGCAAACATAACATTCAAACTCGTGGATAACATCAGTGCGACCGCTTGACAGCAACACCAATATACATCTTGGCCTCATCCACCAACACACCCTCCTCCCCAGCTTCTTCCACAAACCTCTCGACGAACAACCTCTTCGCCTCGTCCCTGACACTCCCCGCCCCGAAATTCCTAAACATAGGACCCGAAACCGCCTGCTCGAATAGCTCCCCAGCTTGCTCAACTTTGTACTCCTTCACTTGGAAGACAGGACTCAAATACACCCTCTCTACCACCAGCCCGGCCTCCCTCAACAAGTTAGCCAACGACTCCTCACCCTTCACCCAGCTCTGATCCCACAGCAACGACAGCCCAAGCTCCGGGCCAATGCGCTCAAAAATCCGCGCAGGGACATGCACATCTCGAGCCGCCACATCAGTAACCAGCCTGCCGCCTTTCCTCAATAGCGACGCCCAGTGCCGTATCGCTCCAAGCGGATCAGGAAGCAGCACCAGCGCCGCCGCACAAGTGATCAGATCGAACTGGCCTGTGCCAGCGCCTTCACCTCCCCGATTCGGATGCAGATTCAAACCAGTCAAATCGGAAATATCATGCTGGTGGAAGGTAACCCGCGACCCGGTTCGCTGTGCCTTTCTCCGCGCGACCTCCAGCATCCCCTCGCTGATATCAATGCCGACGACATACCCTGTTGGTCCGACCTGCGCCTCTGCGAGGAAGGCGACTAGCCCCGTGCCGCAGGCGAGATCAAGGACATGAGCGCCGGGCTGGGGTTTTGCGGCCCGGATGTATTCCTCTGCGAGACGATGGTGAAAGGTGGCGGTGTCGTAGGCGGTGCTCCGTTCGTTGTAGATGGAGGCGATGGTGGAGGGGTTGGATGGAGGCATTTGTCACTTGATGGAGTGTGGTAGATGGGCACGTTGTACTAGCGTCCACCGGTTTATAGTGAGGTTATATGGGACGTAGACATCTCCTGGATAAACGACTCCAGTCGGAATCTGAGAATCAATCGATCTATCGATGACATTGACTCGGTCGCGGGATGATAATTCCTACTGGCCGCTAGGTTCCATATCTTCCGATCTCATGCAGGTGAGCGACTTGGACCTGACCAGTCCGAGAGCGACACATAGAATTAATCTAAACATCCTGAAAACCGCTAGACACAGTCATCGACTGCTCATTCAGATGATGCGGGGTGATATCATGTTCCAAGTAACAATCATCAAAAGCAGTACCTTATTCGAGTCTTCACTGATCGACATGACCCACCGGTTGATCTAGTAAGAACTTGTATCGCACTCTCAGCGAATTAGACCAGGAGCCCCCCCATGAACTGTATTGATTGACGTTTATATGCAGCTGATGGGCTGTTCATGATCATTCCCTTCATTGGATAAACTCCTGCATAAATGTACTATACAGTTATGCCCAAGTATACGCCACCAGCACCAGTTGGCGGTCCTAGATTTTGGGCTCGGGCCACAGCGACCATGGCACTGACTCCAGGGCCCCGAATAGGAGGCAAAATTCTTCGACACTGGGAGAAGTCGCTCACTAGAGAAATTTTAGTCCGTTTGGGCAGCCCGCTATAGATAGATGCAAGGAAGGGTCTAGAACTCTGCCTTTTTCCTCGTGTGTAAGCCACCCCGTGGGAGGCGTCATCAAGCTCCGCCGTTTCTGCAGGGAATTAGCCAGACAGGTACGGAGTCAATGGCATGCATGTGATCTGTCAGGTACGGAGTATTGCTTTTTCGATCGTTCTACTCATAGTACAATGTAGGAGAGCCACTGTCCTTCGAGTCTTTGACTATCTGCAGAGTACATTTCGAGGGGTGCCGAGACCCGGGGATTGAAACTTGAAACCATGACAGGAAGAGGCGTGGTAGCCCCACCGGCACACGAATGCACCAAATTACGGTTCCATTTCCTTGTATCTCTCCAGAAAAGATACAGACTAATACAGACTAAGAAATAAACCCATGAACCGGTCGTTTTGTCCCGTGCTCGGTGCTCCTAAATGATAAATCCTTCGTTATGACCTCCTTTTAGTCCCACTTGCCATTACGACAAGAAACAAAAAAAAGGAGAGCAGAGGAGAAAGGAGACAAAAAGACTCCTATGTCCTTTTCAATTGCTCTGTCTTCATGACGACCCCGTTTCTCCATACTCTAATATCTCTGAAGATGCCCCGGTCCGAGTCATCAGGCATCTAGTGACCCGTCGTGCTTGATTGATTCCCCACTAGAGCTTGATCCTCTCGTTTACTCAAGTCAACATGAGTGCAGAAACACCTCGAGCCGATGGAACCGACGCCGGTCAGTCGGGAGATTCACCTACTGATCTACCTGGAAACCTGCCGCCGGTAGAGGAGCAACCGGAGAGTCCCGTCCATGAAGCGCATCGCAAGACGTCCACCCAAGAAAGCCAGAGTCAGGAGGGCCAGCGCGAAGATTCACATCAGGATGTGCGGTCCACCACATCATCGTCTGTCTTCAGTCGAGATCGATGGCTGCAGGCTAGCCGATCAGTCCGGCAGAAAACCGGGCGGCTGGCAGACAGGCTAGGCCGGCCGGAGGGACAGGATGCAAACGGGCTGGGGTCCTCATTGGTCCCGATGGAAGAGCTGGGCTCGCAAGACGACGAGAAGTTGGCGGCCTTCTTCAGAAACAACAAGGATTCGGGACACTCCGAGCAGTCGAATCTGCACATGGCGGTGGCTGCGGAAGCTCAGGAGCTGATGCAGGGCTTTGGTCTGGCCGAGATGCGTCATCGCAAACCGTCCGCAGAGCCGAACGAGAAGGAGAGCTCGTTTCCCGAATCGGATGCCACGACACTGGCTGACCGGGCCGCGACAGACGTCGAGGCCAATGGCAATACGCCGCCACCGCTACTGGGAGGAGGTGTGCTGTCGGCTCTGCTCCGGCTCCAGGCGAGCCAGATGGAGCATTCGCGCACCAACAGCATGTATTCTGCCCCCGAGTCCGACTTCGAATCCACGCCTACACTGTCCGGCACGGTGACTCCGACTCCAAGCGTGCCCCATTCCGCCTCAAGTCCTCCGCCTCCCCGACAGAAACCCCAAGCGTGGTACAAGAAGTCCAGAAACAGCTCGACCGCCTCGTTGATCCATGCGTCGATGAATATGGGCCGTATCGGCTCTGCGTCGGCCTGGGCCAATGCGAACGTACCGCCGCCGGAGGTCAAAAGCGGCAGCAAGGGCAACAAGGGTAACAGAAAGAAAAAGAAGAACGACGACGAGGTGAAGCTGCGGTACCACATCGCGGACATCATCGTCCGTCAACGCTACATCATGCAACTGTGCCGTGCGTTTATGCGGTACGGTGCCCCCACCCACCGGCTGGAGGAGTACATGCAGATGACGGCTCGCGTGCTGGACATCGAGGCGCAGTTCATGTACCTTCCCGGCTGCATGATCATGTCGTTTGATGATCCGTACACTCGCACCGCCGAGGTGAAGCTGGTCCGTGTGCCACAGGGACTGGACCTGGGCCGTTTGGAAGAGGTCCACGGGTGTTACAAGCGAGTGACGCACGACATGACGGACATGCAGACGGCCATCGGCGAGCTGACGGAGATCATGGACCGCAAGCCCCGGTATCCGCGCTGGCTGGTGATTTTGCTCTATGGCGTGGGATCGGCCGCTGTCGGTCCGTTTGGCTTCTCAGCGCGCCCGATCGACATGCCCATCATTTTTGTGCTGGGATGTTGTGTCGGGTTCATGCAGCTGGTTCTCGCTCCGCTTTCGGCCTTGTACTCGAACGTCTTCGAGGTCACAGCGGCCATCCTGGTTTCCTTCCTGGCCCGCGCCTTTGGCAGCATCCGGTACCCCGGCACCTCGGACCCAGTCTTCTGCTACGCCACCATCACTCAGTCTTCCATCGCTCTTATCCTGCCCGGTTTCTCCGTGCTGACAAGCAGCCTGGAGCTCCAATCGCATCAGATGATCGCCGGCTCGATCCGTCTGGTGTACACCATCCTCTACTCCCTCTTTCTTGGCTACGGCGTCACAGTCGGAACCACCATCTACGGCGCCATCGACTCGAACGCTACCAGCGATACCACCTGCGCCCGGCAGGACGTCTGGGGCAGTCCGTACGCCTCTCATTTCCCCTTCGTCGCGGCATACTGCGTCATCGCGGCACTGATCAACCAGGCCAAGTTCCGGCAGATCCCCATGATGGTCCTGATCGGGACCTCGGGCTACATCACCAACTATTTCAGCACCCAGAAACTCGGCTCCTCGTCACAGGTCGCCAATACCGTCGGCGCGTTCACCATCGGCCTGCTGGCGAACTTGTACAGTCGCCTCTGGCACGGTAACGCGGTGAGCTCCACCATCCCCGGTATCTTCACCATGGTGCCCTCCGGTCTGGCCTCATCCGGCTCGATCCTGTCGGCGATCGAGTACTCGGATGCGGTCCGGAGCGGAACGGCCGATACGACGGGTGGTACATCGGGAACATCCTTGACCAGTCTGGGCTATGGTATGATCCAGACGGCGATTGGCATTACCGTTGGGTTGTTTATTGCGGCGTTGGTTGTTTATCCTTCTGGCAAGCGGAGAACTGGGTTGTTTTCGTTGTAGCATTAGACTGGGTTGTTTTCATTGTAGCATTAGACTCACAGCGTTCCTCTGTTAGATTGAGCGATTCATTTATTGATCTTGTTTATTAATTCAGACATCAGACTCTAAATATTCATGGTTCTTGTACAACTGAGGTATCATTGTATGTTCTCGAACCGTACGCAGTTGCTTTGGCTCATAAGATCACCATTGAATAAGTCCAATAATAATTAGCATCATTGGTCTAGTGGTAGAATTCGTCGTTGCCATCGACGAGGCCCGTGTTCGATTCACGGATGATGCATTCTTTTTCGTCCTTCCTTCTTTTTTTATTTTATTTTGTTTAAACTATTTTCTATCTTCAATTGTCTTTTTGCTAAGCCAATTGCAGACGGGTGTCCATAAATTGTATGCAGTAACCACGGACAGAACCACGTGGACGGACACACCGCTACACTGCCTCAACGACGTCACCGTCATCCAGCAATCAACCACCACAATTAGTCTACTCAGCACAAGCCAGTCTCTTCTCCTACCTAAACTTTCACATATACTATGCAATAATATAGATAGAAGGAAATGGACAACCTCACCCTCTACATCCTCACCTTCAATTGCGCCCGCAACCCCATCGACATCGACCTCTTCGCGTCGCACTTCTTCCACGCCCTTCCCCACACCGTCCCCTCCGCACCGCACCTCATCGCCCTCAGTCTCCAGGAACTCGCGCCCATCGCCTACGCCTTCCTCGGCGGGTCTTATTTGACACCGTACTTTACCTCCTTTCGGCAGGTCGTCGATCGCGCGGCGGCAAGTCGCTGGGAGGATGCGCAGTATGTCACTGTCGTGGAGGAGCATGTGGGCATGACGGGGTTGATGGTCTTCGCGCGGTCGGACGTCGTCGGAAGGATTGCGTCGGTGCAGACGGCGGGCGTCGGGCTGGGGCTACAGCAGATGGGGAATAAGGGGGCTGTAGGGGCGAGGCTGGGGTGGATGTTGGAGGGTGAGACGGTGCCGGTACCGCTGACGTTTGTCGCGGCGCATCTTGCTCCGGCGGAGGATGCGTTTGAGCGGCGGAATGAGGATTGGAGGGGGATTGTGGAGAGGTTGGTTTTTAGTACCACTACCACTACAAACCATGAGGAGGATTCGGAGCGCGCGGCGTTGCTTGGTTCGTCGACGACGACCGGGGAGGAAGAAGGGGAGGGTGTTTTTACGGCAGGGTCAGGGTACCTCTTTCTCGCGGGCGATCTCAACTACCGCACCTCCAATACGCAGCCGCAGCCGGCGGATTTCGCGCGGTTCCCTAACCTGGATGCCGACGCGAGCGACCCGCTGCATTACTCGCGGCTGCTGCGCGAGGACCAGCTCATCCGTGAGCGCGAAAAGGGCCAGTGTTTCCACGGCCTGTCTGAAGCGCCGATCTCCTTCCCGCCGACGTACAAGTATAAGCTTGGGGCGCGGGATCCGCCCCAATGGAAGTTTGTCCACAGTCGCTGGCCCAGCTGGTGCGACCGGATCTTGTATTTGGGGTCTTCGACGGCGACGGTAACGCCCTACCGATATGATGCACTCCCTTTGTTTCCGACGTCGGACCATCGTGCTGTTGCGCTGGCGGCGGCGGTGGTCTTGCAATCGGTCCAGGCCGGTCCATCAGATTCAGAACCTGCACCTGCGACAGACGTGCAGCAGCAGCAGCCGCAGCCGGCGGCGGCTCCATTCCCGATCGACCGGGATTGGAAACGCAAACGAGATGAGGCCCGACGCAAAGAGCTGGTGGTGGGTGGGTTGGCGTATCTGGGGTTGACCTGGGAGGGCCGTCGGTACCTGGTGGGCATGGTCATTGGCGGGTTGGGCGCGTGGTTCATGCTGCGATCGATGCTCAGCGTCTGATTGCGTCCGGTATGACCTGCAGTAGCCTGTGTCAGACGTGCAGGCATCTGTTTCCAGACATCTGTTTCAAGATCACGATCTCGGGACAGCCCATGTCGATCCCGATATATCAATCTGACCCGGGCCAAGGGCCAAGACGTGATACAGCGATTGTATGATCGCATAGCCGCATTGATTGAGTGCAAGTCGAGAGCCGCTACGGGCGTACTTCTAGAATTCTGGAAACCCTCCGAAAGCGGGTCCGCTGCATCACCTGCTGACGAGGCATCTGCCCAGCACTTGTCAATTTCTCACAAGTCAGAAGTAGTAATTGCAGATCCAAGGCACTAGGGTACTCCCGGCTCCGACATACAACAGACAATAATGTCCGCCGATCCTACACAACAGCCTGACAAGCAAAATCAGCCGGTCACCTGAGCCCGCCAGGATCTAGAACAGTCTGGAAGAAAAAGGCCGAGAGAAGTCTAATGATGGTGGAGGCTGAGATACGATACAAATCCAGAAGGGAAAGATCAACGAGCCGTATCCCTCGATCATGTCTACATATCTACAAGTAATGTCTACAGTCAATGATAGAACAATCTGAGGAAGCGTATACGTATAATCTTTATAAAATGCAGTCCAGGAACATCGATATTAATCCAAGACATACTCGATGATCGGAAAAGCAGAGATTTCCCCCCGTCCCACTAGCCACCTCAACCTCATTAATCTCAACGTCGGCTCCGAGCTAACCACGGAGTAACTAGTAACTAAAACAAGTTAGTCAAGGTAGAGAGAGCTCCGCCTCGCCTCATGAAACCAATCTATCTCAGATTCTGCCACGCAGTGGAAAACCTTGCTCTAGTTCGTATGGAATTGAACTGTGGCCATATGACGGAGTACCAGGTACTAATATTTGGATGATTCGGAAGCGGGATAAGCCGCCGTCCTCTGGCCTCTACCTATTCCTGATTACTGATCAAGTGACCAGATGCATTAAGCTTGCAGTATTCTATTCATTCCTTTCCTCCGAGGAAACACTGGTTATGCACGATGACGCAGCATAGTGTCTGTTGTAAGGTATACGATAATCTCCTCAATTACGGTGTACTCGGACAGTGTGCTGCGTGAGGCTGGAGGCTGTAGCTGAGCCAAATCCAATCCTCCCGAGGCAGAGTCATAGTGGAGACAAGGCCAGATCCAGATCCATCCGTTTATCTTTCCAATTTCTAGCGCTTCCAGAAGGTTCAAATTTCAGAGTTTGCTGGTGTGACCTGGACTTGAGACTAGGTTGAGACCAGATAATATGGTTCAGGTACGAGGACGGGTTTCTATGTGAAACTTGGTTGGGGGCGGTGGATCGTGCAATTTGGACTTTGTCTAGATGCTTGTTATTATGGGCCTAGCTGGGAGAGTAGACTTGATAGAATGAGGCTGTAGGAGTGAAATAATATGAGAGACTGTCTTAATATTAGTATTAATGCAAGTCACAAAGGCATACAGTAGTGTAGGCAGATGCACTGATGCTTGTAGATTTCTGATTAGGCTACTACCTATACTAACATCACCTAATGTGCCCATTATTATTCTGCCTAGCCATAGCCATAACCAGGCAGTAAATAGAGTCGGTGATGCCCAGTGCCTGTCAGAGCTGTCAGACTGACAGTCAGACTGCGGTGGATGTCAAGGTTGAGCCGTTGGATCGGTGCGTAGATTGATTGGCTTAATCTACAGATGGATCATATTCATTAAGTGTCATAATACTGAGGCAAAATAAAGGATTTTTCACTTCCGATCCCCGTTCAGTCTCCATAGACCACTCGTAGTACAGACTACCTAGAATGTAGTATATAAACCCCTTTTACCTTCGATCTCCTTCTGGGGACCTTTTTTCCAGACAGCTGGACTCGTTCACTCATTCACTCGTTTCGATATTCGTTCACTACTACCTCCTTGCTACTATCTGCCAACTGCAACCGCAACTGGCTAGTATTGTGGCGGAGCTAGACCATCGACCATCCTCGCAAGCGTGCTTTAGCTGCCATACTAGACTCCTTCTTGTCTGTCTGCAAGACACTCCTCGGTGCTTTTGACGTCAGCCTGCGCCGTGTGGCTTAGTTTTTTTTTTATTTTTCTGTGTTTCGGGTGATTTTATTTATTTTATTATTATTACCTTATTTTTCTGGCTTCTCGACTCTCTATTTCTATTGCGACAAATCCGCACAGGAGCGTTTGCCTTGACGCCCGATTTCAGCCCTAGAAAGGAAAAAGCTAAAACAAGCCAAAAAGAGGAAAAAAAATTAGTGGAGGGAGAAAGGGGCAACAAACAATAATAACAAAACGTCCATCTCTCTATCTGCGACTCCTAACTCTTCCACTGCTGTCAACTCTCGTTCTCCTCTCGTGATACTGTCAACATGTTCTCCTGCGCCAACTATCCTCGCGGTTGCCGTGGCCGCGCCAACATCGAGGGAGGAAAATGCCCTGATTGTGTGGTATGCAATCATCTGCTCTGTACAGCTGCTAGGTTGAATACTAACAGTACATAGTCGCTCAAACTACGTCGGCCCTCGGCATTGTCATCGCCTTTCGCACAACCCAGAGACTACCGACGAGCCCTACCATCAGAGATCCTGAACGACTCGCCTTACCGAGCCATCGTCCAGGATCTGTGATGCAATGGATGCGATGGATGCATTCAGAGAATGAAAATTAAAAACCGATGACTCGATGACTGTCCCGCCGGCCGGGACTCGGATTCTTTTTCGCGGGAGGCTTCCTCATGCATTTCCGGAGTTACTATATACACCACTACTACATACACTACACTACAACCGTCTACGATACGAGTCGATAGCGATCTGCGAGTTTGACTTTTGACTATGCGCGATCGCCTCGGCTGGCCGATCATCCTCTCCTTATTGAAAGACGACACTCGTTGATCTCTGACCCGTCTCTACACGTTGAATTGGAAGATAGAATGGACTGGACTACGGTGGTGGACACTGACTGGACACAGTCACAAGGCGCAGGCGGTTATCTGATTTATTCCCCTCCTTACCATTTCTTTTTCTTTTATTTTTCTTTGATCATTGTCTGCACATACCATACCCTGTTTAACTTGATGTCCATTTTTTCATGTTTTCGTGTACGCAGTATACCCAATCCAACGCGATACACCATTCCCACAACCTCAAACCAGCATTATGGAAATAGTCTTAGTCTCACACAATCCTTCTGGAACATCGGAACCATTCCCCCCCCCAATCGCAGCCAAAACAGACACGCATCTGTGGATCCCATTCCGGGACTTGGGTGTCTGAAACCGAGCTAAGTGAGATAGCGGTGGAGTGTCTTGGCGATGGCCTGCAAATACCGTAAAGAGGATTAGATTAGGGGTTTCACTAGGATTTCACTTGCAGTTAGTCAGTAGTATTTGTTGGATCTTATCCGTGCCTTAGGCGCACCCACACCGCTCTCGGTGTGGGTGCGCTACAGCGTAACGGTAGATTTCACCGCAACGGTAGATTTGATCCAAACCACCTACTTTTATGCATTTGAAGCTATTCCCACCACCCAACATGCCTAAAGCTATTAAATATAATGAATCTGACCTACGTAAGGCCTGCGAAGCCGCTCAGGCCCAAAAAAACCCAAATCTTGCTAAGATTGCGCGTGAATATGGCGTTCCTTACACGACCCTACGTGGACGCGTTATATCTGGTTCTCAGCCTCGTACAGCTCGCAAACCAGTCAATAAAGCCCTTAAGGGGTATCAGGAGGAAGCCTTAATACAGTGGATAGTCTGGATGCGAGATCACTACCTGCCAGTGACGCCTAAGCTACTAGAAGAGTATGCAAATCAGTCACTTCAACGTGCTGGTGAAGATAGACAGGTTAGCAAGGTATGGGCATATCGCTTTGAGAAACGACTCCCAGAACACCTCAATCTAGGCCCTATCAAGCAAAAGACGAAGGAATCAAGGCGTATCCAGGCTGAGGATGCAGGGTTATTGGCACACTGGTATAATCTGCTTGCAAATGTGGTTAAAAAGGATACACCAGCGCGGTTAGTATACAACTTTGATGAATGTGGCTTCCGGCCTGGTGAAGGCAGATCTAGGAAGGTAATTGGTTCAAAAGGGGCTTCTATCCCTGATCTTCCTGAATCTGAAAGAGGAGAGAATATTACAGCTATTGAATGTATATCTGCAGATGGTTGGCAGATGGATCCATGGTTTATCTTCAAAGGCAAGCTCCCATCCATCTAATATTCTAATATATGTACTAATCTATTCCTTTTCCCTTCCTTAGGCAGCGGCACCTTCATGGAATTTTGGTTTAACAAGAGCGAGTCCCTACCACCGAATACAACGATAGCTACGCAGACCAGCGGCTGGATATCAGATGAAATAGCCCATCAATGGCTTCAAAGCTTTATCAAGGCAACAAATGAGCGTACGAAGAGGGGAGAGAAACGGATACTTATCTTTGATGGTCATGGCTCCCATCTCACCGTCGATTTCTTACAGACATGCAAAGATAATGGCATTATTGCCTTTGGATTCCTTCCTCATACAACACACCTTTGCCAGCCACTAGATGGCAAGCCATTCTTGAACTACAAGCAACACTTCCGACGCATAAATAATGAGCTATCTTACTGGGCTGGTGAGCCAGTAGGGAAGTCAGAATTCTTACGGGTGATTGGACCAGTACGGGAGAAAGCCTTCAATCAGCGGATCATCCGTGAGGCCTTCAAAGATCGTGGAATCTGGCCAGTCAATAGTAAGATAGCTGACGATCTTGGAAAGAAGGAATGGAAGGACTGTCCAATTCTCTATGGGCTTGACATAGAAGGCTTAGACAGTTTTGAAAGTCCTCCTTCTACACCCTCTCGGCCACTATCTTCATCCAGTATTGATATCTCCCCTCCAAGGTCGATCCAGGCTCTTGAAAAGAATCAAGCAAAGCTATCTAGGCTTGCAGCTACTGTTGCAGATCTTACACCAAAGCAGATACGGAATATTGATCGTTTCATTGAACATAGTCGAATCGCCGCGGAGGAGGGGGCTATGTTTAAGGAGACAATTAATCAAATCAGGGCCGCGCAAGCCCCCCTACGGCGCCAATACACTAAGCGACATGTTAAGCCACTTAGTCAGAATGGCATACTAAGGGTGCAAGATGCAAATCGATCAATTGCTTCAAGGAAGGCCAAAGATGCTGCTGCGCAAGAGAGGCGTTTACAAAGGCAGTGGGAGAGAGTGCATGGTAAACCACCACCACCAGCACCTACGCAAGAGAATATGGTATCAAATGGATCAGCAGAGGCAGCAGATAAGAATGGTGATTTTTTGTATATAGATAACCCCTAGTATGGCCTCAGAATCGTGATTTTAATGAGAAATCTACCATTGCGGTGAAATCTACCGTTACGCTGTAGCGCACCCACTCCGGCCATGCCGGAGTGGGTGCGCTAAGGCACGGATACAAGGGAAAGAAAAAAAAAAGGTAGAGCTATATTTGGGGGGAATCTGAGACATGTTTGGGGGCCGAGGATGGGTTTGGGATTTAGATGTTGTTGGGATTTGTTTCAGGGTCTTCTTCGTCTTTTATCTCTGTAGATATTTTTGTATTGTGATAGTTCTATAATCATCTGACATGGTAATGATCTATGTTTGTATAATATATAGTCATCATATTCAGTGATCACAACTCGTTAATTATCTCCATGCTGCGGGATTAGTAGATGAAGTATGCTTACCTCATACTAACAAACTTAAAGCATGCACATCCATTTTATGTTTTTACAGATATTGCGTACATGAAGTTTTCAAAATCTGTTTCCTCGACAATGTACATCCGCGTTGCTTTGAAACCCTTACTCCAAGCTATGCTAGTCTGTATATAAATTATGCACCTTTTATGCAAGAGTGGTTGACCTATTCTATATGATAATAGCGGTCATATGAAATGTAGTATGCAGAAACTGCTGCCTCACTTTCCTGTGCCTGTCTCCATTTTCAGCAGAATAAAGGCTGGGAGTTGGCTACTGGTTCTACCCTCTTCTAGCACTGCCATTGCTTTTGATTCAGGACATGATTTCTTATTGAGAAGATCATATGGTTCACTCCATGTGTTACGATATAGAGACATTGTAGAGCATCACGTTATTTTATGCGCTGAAAGTAAGGAAATAAACCCTCCCGGAACCATTCGCAAGAGCCAGAGTATGATTCTTTACTGCTGAACAGACAGGTCGATATTCTGGAGGAAGCCACAGAACCTTCCGGCCCTTCATTACCACCCATTCCTTTTCCACCAATATATCGACACCAACGTCCGACGAACCAGAGCTATAGTTGTCTTGACGAGCCTGGAAATGAAGAGATTCCATGGTCGCATACAAGTACAAATCTTCGGAAATTTTGAAGGGCGTAACATTCCCGATATCCAGAATCTGTTTTTTCAGACATCCTGTCGCATTTTCCCAGAGGTTGACCAGGCCATCGTAGGATGCTGATGCTAGTAGCTGGCTATCTGGCGAGAACTCGACGGAGTGGATAGAATTCAGGTGGCCTTCAAGGGTGTGTTGCACGCTTTTTGTATTAACGTTCCAGAGTTTGACTGTATTATCTCTGCAGCACAAAGCCAGTAATTGGCTGTCGGGAGAGAATTTAGCTGACTGGACCAAGTTTGAAGTGTCCTCAAGGACATGTTGCAGATGGATATGTCCCAGCTTCACAGATGCAAGCTCTAGAATCAGGAATGTAGTCTCATCAGACAGGTCTTGTATTTGGAGAAGTAATAATTGGCTATCGGGCGAGAATTCAGTTGAAAAAATCGTGTCTTGGATGCCGCAATCTAGGGAACGTAGTAAATCTCCTGTGAGAGAATCCCAAAGTTTAATCGACTGACCGAAGGACTCTGACATTAGTAGCAGGCCGTCAGGGGAGAATTTCATCAACGTAATGACAGGCATAGGTTGCTCGGCAATCTGTGGGAGTGGATTCGTCGTGAGATCCCAAAGTTTGATTGTCGTATCATTGGAGGCGGATGCCAGTAGTTGGCCGTTACATGAAAATGCCACTGATTGAACCGAGCCTCTAAATCCTTTAAATAGTGTCCCCGTGAGCCCTTGATCTCGACCAAAATCATCCCCATGGAAGCGCTGTACCCAGCTCGAGTGGCCCTCAAGGATCTGCTGCTTTGTTCCAGCATCTACATGCCAGAGCTGAACTGCACAATGATCTGAGCCTAGTGCTAGAATTGTGGCATCAGGCAACAACGCCACCGACCAGACTTCATTCGAACGATTCCCCAAGGATTTTTTCAAAATGCCGGTAATAGGATCCCAGAGGTTGACGGTGCCATCCTCGGAGCCGGAGGCCAACAGTGGTGCACCTGATGAGAAAGTTACGCAACAGACTGTATCTGAGTGGCCAGGCAAGTTGTGTATTAGTGTGAAAGTGTAAGGATTCCAGAGTTTGACTGTTTTGTCGCTGGAGCCTGATGCTAATAATTTGCTGTCTGCTGAGAATGCCACCGACCAAACCGTATTCAAATGACCTGTCAAGTCCCGCTTCAGAGTGCCTGTAGCAGGATCCCAGAGCTTGATGATATTATCGCCAGAGCCGGATGCTAGCAGCTCGCTGTTGGCTGAGAATGCCACTGTCCAGACCGAATTCGAATGGCCGTGCAACTCGCGTTTTTGAACGCCAGTAAACGTGTCCCAGAGTTTGACTGTTTTGTCGCTGGAGCCCGATGCTAATAAACTGCTGTCTGCTGAGAATGCTACGGACCAGACTGAATCTAAATGGCCCTCCAAACTCCTTTTCAGAATTCCTGTGGCGGGATTCCAGAGGTTGACCAAACTGTCATCGGAAGCAGAGGCTAATAAGCTACCGTCTGGCGAGAATGCCACGGACCAGACAGTGTCAGAATGGCCCTCAAGAGTCTGTAATTCTGGACTCCAAGATTGTTCCACATCTGGATATTTATGTATCTGATTAGGAAGCTTTCTTTCAAACTTTTTCCTCGTCATTGCCATCTGCGGTGCAAATATCAGCGCAGAAGTGTAAAGCTGAAGAGGAGCAATATCTGCCATCTGGCGATTCTTCAGGATAAAACGTGTTATATCATGCAGGAATTCAGATAGTACAGAATCATTATGGGTCTAGGGTTATCAGTGACAATGATTACTAGAAAGTGATACTAGGACTCACTTGTATTGCTGACTGTAGAGTGCCAATACACCCCAGAATGTCTGAAACGACTCCAAGTATGCTCATTACCTCCATCCAATGAAGGAAATGTTCTTCAAGGAATGCAAAAGTATTATCAATCTGGGCCATGGGGTGTTTGCTTCGTGCCAGATGGTGGATCCAATAGCGACAAGAATACTGCAGCTCTGGCGGCAAAAAGTAGCTAATAGACTGGAGATCAATATTTCTTCGCTCTGTTCCGTAGCTTTCGAATTCGCACACATTCTCCTTTAGCTGGTCACGCATAACAGAAAGACAGTAGTCTGTCAATTGTTGGTGCATTTCCTTCTCATCAACCCAAAACATGGTCCTCCCACAAGTGGTGAAGTCAAGAAGAAAGTCACGAAATGATAGGTGGAAGAGCCTCAATGGGAGTGACTCATTATTTGGTACATTCAAGACTGAATGCAGAGAGCTCAGGCTGGCATTAATTAACCTTGGGGAGAGCCCTATGAACTTTGAAAGGGACGCGACTGAAAGTGGACTCTCGAGAAGAATAATTGTACCAATAACTTTTCGAACCTCCTGAACCACTAGCTTTTGCCTTGTCCCATTATATTTGGAAGCAAGGCGGTCCAGTACTGGAAGGTATGTTCCAGCCAACTTAGACTCTTCGCTTTGATATTTGAGGATCTCCGTGAGACATTGCACAGGGTCCAGATTATGATCCTCAAGCAGACGGCAGATAGTGGCAGCAAATATAAATAGTGGGACTGACATGGTAAGCAGAGCTTGGATATCAGAGTTTCCAGGCCAGCCCAGAGGAAGTGCCCGCTCCTTCCTAATATTCGCCAGCTTGTATTCAAGGAACAAGGATATATCATGCTCCACTATTGGATGAGGAATCTCATGGAGAACCAAATCCTGATGGGTATCATTAACCATCTGAAAGGCTGTTCGAATAGGGAGTTCAGGTCGACTGGTGACAAAACAACGCAAGTGTCCATAGTTTAAGTCCTGAACACGTGGCAATAGTTGGATGATGGCTCTGATATCGTTGTCATCTTCGCATTCATCTAGCGCATCAATCACTATCACTAGAGGTGGGCTCTGATTTTCTGGCTGAGTCAAGCTGTGGAGTGGTCGGTAAATGAGCTCGTTAAACTGCTCCTTAAGAGGTTGGGCTGAAATTCCTGGATTATCCCTCATTGCCTCTAAGATAGCAATGCGTACTTCTGGTATTGTGGTGAATAGCTGCTTTGTAATAGTTGGGAAGAATCGAGCTGCATTGCCACGATCTCCTTCACCTCTCTTGAAGAAGAAGCTCGCTGCTAATAACCCTCGCTCTCTAAAGGATTTGGCCACAGTCCGTGATATTGTGGATTTGCCAGTGCCGGCCAAACCATTGAGCCAGAAAATGCATTTTCCTTCCGGTGAGACAGCCCATTCTTCAATATTAAGAAGGAGCTCCTTTCTGGTTCCCGGTAGACATTCTTCTTCATGCTGGTCCATATACGTTCCAAATTCAGCTCCGTTAGCGACTGGTAACTCCTTTAGGTTAATACTCTGTACCATAGCATTGATTTCCCTGGCTGATCCGCTAGTAATTAAATGAATATTGTCAACATTCTTGGATACGTTGCGCAGTTCGTTTTGGATCCCTGCAGGATAGCGACTATTAGACATGTCAAAGTGATCGAGAGTAGCTAGAACTAACCGTCCAAAACCTCACAGGCCTTTCGCTCGGCGGTTACCCTCTGAGGGATAATTTGACATAGAAGATCTTTTGCATATGCTGCTGCCACCATTGCAGCATAGCCTTGCCATTCCTTGCTTTTGTGCGAGTCGGCGTAGTCACAAACACCACGAATGACCAAACAGGGGAAATGGTTCATCAGTCCAGCTGCTTCCATTTCAAAGCATAAAACATCTCGCTCTGCCGCCATCTTGTCCCGGAATATTGCGTCTCTAATCAATCTATTCCCAGATGCTATCAAGCCATAATGGATAGCAGGATCATCCTCATCTTCGGTTCGCTCTGGTCGGAGAATCAACTTGGAGTTATCACAGAGCCCGGCACAGCTTGTCTCGCTGACTGGGACATGAATAAACTGGCTTTCATAAAGCCTGTCGGTTTCAGGAGGAGGTTGTGTGTATTTTCGCTTCAGTCTGCTATTGCTTTCGAGCACAGTTTGTATGCTCCCCTTCAACTGATGGCCCTTCTCCTCATACTGCGCTTGGAGCCCAGATACGGCCGCGCGCAGGATCGGCGGCGGCTGGTTCAAGAATCCTGTTTGATAAAATTCTTGCCCTTGCAATTCCTTGCCAAAGTCATATTGAAGCAAACCACCACATCCATTCCGAGCCGAGCTCACGACAACATCTCCAAGACGTATGTCCCGTTTTGTTGGAACTCCCCCACCAATCCCAACCATTAGCCCAAATCGGATGTTTGGAAAGCTGTGCAGCATATCCCTGGCCACCCCAGCTGCGGATGATGTCCCATATTCTCCATCTGGTAGAACTGCGATAACCACCTGATGGCCTCCGATTTCTCCCAGAGTGTAGTGATTATTATCATTTGGTGAAAGTCTTTCCGGTCGGCTATGCGAATTATCGAGAAAAGCTCGGGCAGCGACATATTCCGTCTGCAAGGCACATATCCAACCAACAGTATACTGCTCTGGACTTGACATAGTGGACTAAAAGACTGATTATTAATAGCGGGTGTTTTAGATATCCAATCTGTCATGGATTATATTCACTGTCTTCGCCCGAAACGAAATGAAAGCAGTGGAGTGTCATCTGAGGATCAGACCTCCAGCATATTTCGCGCGGAGAAGAGGGGTATCAAGAAGTGAGGCTATTAGTCACAGTGCATATCACTAGCTTGCACCTCTACGGAGGTGCGTTGCAGAATACAGAATAACTTTGCTGCTGGTAAGCTTGGCTTGGTAATAATATAAAGCAAGGTACCTTTATTTCCATTCGGAGTTGGCATGGCAGAGTGCCAGAGCCTATTAATCCCCAATTCAGGAGCCTCTGCTGCTCTTCCATGGAGAGCTGCTTATATATCCGATGGGAAACATCATCATGGCTTTCTAGGATGCCCTCCTCATCTTGGACATGATTAACCAAAATAGTTAAATAATGGGTCTTAAGGCTATAATACTTCCTGCCAATAGGTCCTGCTAGCACCGTTTGCCTAGATTATATGGCTTCTCTGGACGACGCATGAGCCTATAGATATGTTCCTAAGCTAGAGCTTACCCTAAAGTACTTTTAGCATTAATCTAAGCATCTCTGTCTGTAAGCATTCTTTAGGTCTCAGATCTTACTTCCCTTTTGTCATTCCCTAACACAGTGATATAATTATCATCAATATAACTAAAAGAGATCCCTACTGCGAGCTTCTTGCCTATACAGAACAGAGTACTCCGCCTGAGGAGCTATCACTCATAGCTAACTATTTAATGTTGGTCTTAAACCATTTGTTGAGATCATATTAAGTGTGATTAGTTCATGCCGCCACCACAGCTATGTCTTTAGATCTAACGGTTCTAAACCTGTCTACTATATTAGGTTTTCTTGTAAACCTAATCCTTAAGCTTCTTCTTCAGAAACTCTACCTAGTAAGGACTAGGTGCTAACATATCTTTTACCACTACTTAAGTACTAAGTTATTTACAGTGATCGATTAAATGCAGGTGGATCTAGTGGTTCTTAGTCCTAGAATCTTTCCTTCCTAATCAGAGAGTTGGACTAGCTTAAGCTTACAGAGTGTGGCTAATGCTTAGGGGAAGAACCGAACTTCGAAGGAGGACTAAATATAGATAATATAAGGAAGCAGCCAAAGTTACTTGAGGTAGAGGCATACTGCAGAGTTATATCCTAATCGCTAAAAGGTTGAGAGTAGGATGTGACTTAGCTATTAAAGGGACTCTCTATAGCTTAATGGAAGGAAATGCTTCTGTAAGACCATTATATTATTAGTATCATGGAATTACTGTATGTGGGCAGCCATTACTTCTCTATATTGGAATACGCTACTGTGGGAGGCAGAACTTGGATAGGGCTATCTGGCGTGGCGTATGTAATAGTTAAGATCTTATACCTTAAGGATCAGCATTGAATACAGCTTAGTATGGCTTGGTAATTAAGGGTTGAGAGTTATATTGTAGAGTATACTCCAGAAACTAAAATTAAAAGACTCCGTACATTCCTTATTACCCTGCTCAGCCGCCTATGCTACAAAGTACATGGAGAATAAGTTGACTTAGACTTGTCTACTCGCCACTCCATATACTAGAAGGGAGTTCCTAGAGGCTATACAAGAACCGGAAAGCATTTCCTCAAAGTTGGCTAACTAACCCTCACTCTCACAGCTAGGTATCTTCCAATTCCAGGCAAAGTTCCATCTCCAGTATGAGTCGTTCCTCTTACCAGAACATTGATATGACTACATCTACTCCGGCTAGACAGGTCAAGAAAAGTAACTTGAACACTGGGCCCGCAAACGCAACCGTATTTGGCCCCAGAGTAGCCCACAGGCCCCTGTACTCAGGCGGTAGGTAAAGCAGCTTCTGATTGCCTCTGCATACCAATAATGGTGTCCCTATACAAGTCCGCATCGGGGATGGAGCCACAACACCAGCCATCAGCGAATACGAGCCCGGATTGTCTAGAGCTCCACTTCCCCACAGGTTGTGCCCAAGGCGAGGTTTTGCCATCTTGAGAAATGGCCACGTGGGAGGTTGGGAGCTGTTCTGGGGTTCTCCGTATGTACAGCTTGCATGTCTCAGTCGGCGCATCGATAGCTGGGTCCCGGCCCAAACCGGCCGATGAGCATCATGCTACAACCGCGGGAGACGGCTAGGGAAAGAATCGATTTGGGCAGGTCTCTGTTGCTTTCTAGAATCTGCGTACCGTCTCAAGCCCTGTTTGCAAGCACATGCGCGAGGTTCCAGATCCAGGCTGTGCTGTCGTATGCAACCGAGGCGATGGGCTGCTGTCTTGGGAGAATCAATCGCGGACACATAGGTTGTATGGCCCTCGAGTGTAAGTCAACAGACACTCACGGTGGACTCGCACACGTTGACTGTTCTATCCAGTGACCCGGTCGTGTCGAGATTAGTTGACCGTGACCGCCGAGAGACTCTATGGAGTGCTGGTCGCATTCCACAGTCGTAGTAGGCCATCTTCTAAAGCCCGCGCAATACGATTGTTGTCTAGCAAGATGGCTACGGCGGTTTCCGTCGAACCTTTTGCCTGCACGCCCCAGTGAAAGCATCTTAGAGCTGTACATGCCGTCAGAGGTGGCAGCGGGAACTTTGCTTCGTCAACTCAGTACAGCAAACAGCGTTCCGTCAGATAAGAAGAGCACTCCTCCTATCTCGCTTTCCGCAGCTAGTGTCTGCAGATGGGAGTCCCAGTTTCCTCGAACACCGGTAATGTTTCCGATAAACGACAACCTCGCGATTCAGAACCGGGATTTGACTTCGCCTCTGCTTGGGCTGAAGGCGTGCGCACATTCACATATCTGCAGAGAAATTTTCTCTATAACAGACAGATTCCTACAAACAAAAAAAAGTTCCGCATCACTTATGGCAATAAGCTGAAGGCTCTGGCCTGGTGTCGACTACTACCATTAGTACCTAATGCGATTAGAGGGAGCTTGTCATACCTCAACGTCCAATGAGAGCTTCGGAAGTGATGATATCTCGCGTGGAAGCTTGTGAATCAAGCTCAAACTTCCAGCCGGGAAATGCTCTTTTCAAAAGGCAAACGCTGCTCCATCGTCCGATGATGCATTCCCACACTAGTATAGATGCCTGAACCCAGAACTCGCAAGAGTGCCGCATAGCGGGCAAGGGGTCTCTCTCCGGAAACCCTGGTGTCCTTGGATTCGACGCCTATGGATATCGTAGAGATTGTAGAGATTTTGCTGCAGTCTCTAAGAAATGGCATAAATGGAGCGTCTGCTCAGATCGACATTAGCTGACCAATTTTACCCCCAGACGCAAATATATCGCGCAGATATTCTCTGGTGGAATTGTGAACCATGCGGACCAATCGTCCTTGACCGTCAGAAAAGAGCCACATTTCTGAACAACGAGCACTGATCGCACGCGATCGGGTAAGACAGAAGACAGGCGGCCGCCAGAATTGCCTGCAGTACTTCGCATCATATCCACCTGGGCCCTCACTTTTGGCCATCATGCGGTCATAAAGACTTATGAGAGAAGGAGAGCTGGCTTTCACACGCTCGACAGCTAGGTGTTCGCGCAGATCGTTTTCGATATATCCTTGAAGGCGAAAGACACCCACAGGAAGGTATTTAGCGCCCGGCGGCGGATCTCCTCTTCCATCCCATCCAAAGCACCTTGCGCGTAACCGTTGTCACGCTGACCTCCGAGAACTTGTGTGAATGGCATTTACTGGCTCCGGTCGACTTCGGACTGTCGATTTCCACCTCCGCTCCCGGTGCCTCCCTGATTCTAGGCTTTTTGTAGATGTCGATCTCGGGCCGACTGGATAGAAGCCGCTTCACCTTGTTCGCGATACCGAGGGTTTGGGAAAGAGCAATCTCAGATCCCGGATGCCGGGGTCCCTCTGGTCGCATTCGTCAAAAGCATCGAGAAGGTAGATTATATGTATCGACGTCAGAATGTATTCTTGGGTCTGAAGAATTTGGCCTCGACAGGGGTTTGGGTTCCCATGACGTATAAGTCTCCAACTGATATACTGATTATTTGTCTTTGCTGCTTCATGTTGCTTATCTATGTAATAACCAATATTCTGATGGACTGCTTCACTTACTGGGACTTTTCCTCTTGCTACATTTCGATAGTATCGCCTTACCCTAGATATCCTGACCCTATCAAACTTGTCCAATGCCATGCTGAACTGCAACCCAGCCCCTCTGTTGGCAAATCGCAACCTCATGGGGCTCAATGCGGCGCTAAGCATCTATCCCATACAGATCTGCAAAGTGCTCCATGCGCCAACTGCCAAGAAGGGCGGACATTGGTAGAATTGCGGCCGAACTTGTGGTCTAGTGTAGATTTTCAAGCTTACTGTGGAGTCGAATCAGAAGAAATAACCATATTGGATGGCTATCTAGAAAAGAGGAGCAGAGATACCTACATGATGGGTCCCATAACCTGTGCCATACCTAACCAGGCAGGGAGCAACCGTCCAAGGAAGGCCCCAGCTCTCGACAGATGAACTGCGCCCTGCTGCGTTAAATATCTTTGAACTATCTGCTCTCCCAAACCCTGGGGTATTATGGCCATTATTATCAACTCCGAATCCCCCGACCGCAAATTCCCGGTGTATTGATCGCTGGCTGATATCGACGAACAGGTTCAGATGGTCAGTCTCTGCACCTTACAGAACAAGCCAGTGACTGACTTCTATATCTAGGAGCGTCACTATCTCGAGGAAGAACCCAATAGCGCCCCGCAGCTTGTGGCCCATCCACAGCAGCCTTCACCTTTTTTGCCAGGGCACAACGAGAAATACTTTGTTAATAAAGAGGGTCAGACGCAATGGACAACAGAAACAGGCCCACAGTTTGTAGCTGCTGATACAGCCGAGCCAAAAAAGAAAAAGCGATGGAGGTGGATTGTCGTTGCTGTGGGGGTGTTTGCGCTCATTGTGGTCGCAGCTGTTGTAGGGGGGGTTTTAGGTAGCCGCACTGCCCATAAGAATGATAATGCACAAAGGTATGTCCTCCTATCTCACGTCTCGTTTTAGGGTTGATGGGACTGTGCTGAAAGTGACAGCGACTCGGCTTTATCGTCATCGCCAACACCTTCAGCATCATCACTAAGTGGCACCGATACTACAACCCCCTCCTCCCCCCCCACCACGATCTCCAACAACCCGACTTCTACTACGACGGACAGTGATAATCAGTCAGCAAATGACGGTTCCACTCGCTTAGCCACATTTGAAATGTACGAAACCGACAACTGCGGCGGCACGGACGATTCTTTTGCCATTACGAGCACGGGGTCCCAACGATGCGTCCTTGTTCCCTCCAATAAGAGGTCCGTTCGAGTGCTTGACAACAGGTATGTGATCTGTAGGATAAGGTTATTTGTGTGCTAATAAGCTTACAGTAGCTGTATCGTCACGACATGGAGCGGCGACGACTGCAAGGGGTTGAATTTCAGAGTGCCCGATAACAATTGTCACAATGTATTGTATGCCGCTGTGTCTGTATATTGCTAGATACCCATTGCTTCAGCCATAGTCCCCGACCCTAAGCCTCATATGTCTATTGACCTCTACTAGAATGGTTGAATATCCTTTGTACATATTCAAATTGCTCTCATTCATCAATCCTGCCTCCATACCCCGAAGCGCAGTCAGCTACATTTATGCTCTAGCTGTGCTGCCCTAGAGTTCATCAAAAGAGCCACAATCAAGCCATACAGGCCTTCCTACGCATCAGTCTCATCAAACTAGAGCAGAAACAAGAAATCTTATCTAGCACCTCAGCAAAAATCAGAATGAGGATCATACCCACATAAAGCCGAGGCTGCTGCGCCGTTCCTCTCACGCCCGCGTCGCCCACGATTCCAATCGCAAACCTGACCAACTTAGTTGAGCATCTACAGAGATGGACGCGACATACCCAGCAGCTAGCCCACACAATCCAACCGAAAGACCTGCACCCAGCTGAACCAGACTAGTGTAGAGAGCCGCCTTTTGGGAGAGGGTGTTTGCAATGAGAACAGAGACAACCAGGCCGTAGATCCCGAGGATACCCGCCATGACGATGGGCACAATGTCTAGACGATATCAGCTGTCGCTCTAGAAAGCAACTCTGTAGGCATACTCTTAGCTATCAGATCGGGTCTCAGAACACCTGATGAGCAAACGCCTACGCCGGCTTTGGCGGTCCCGTAGGCTGCACCGCAGGCTGTGAAGACAATGGCGCCAGTATGTAACAGGTCTACCGTTAGATGGCAGACTTCAATCATGCATAGATCTGGATCTATATTGCGGCCGGATGTATATCATAGACTAGTCTTACACATTTCGAAGAACGCAGTTAGTAATAGAATATGTTCTGGTGGGCAATATACTATCGGATGAGACTCACGTACCGTGTAATGTCAGACATATTCCATAGTCATCTGGCAGGGATTGTATCATTTCAGAAAACCTAATCAATGAATTCTGTATTGCAACAGAGATCTTACTATTGCCCACTATTCATGGATCCAGTGTACTGATTACATCAAAGACTGGACTAGTCATATAAAGCTGATAACTCGGAGCCTGACGCCACAGTACTCCACTTATGAAGCCAGCTATATATGGGAACATGCGCTTTATAATGACAAGGCTATATTATGCTCTATTATAAATGACGTGTAGAAGACAAACATTATCATGGGTACTTGTTTTAGGCTACGTCGTGGAAAATTTGAACGGTCATCGCATATCCATCCAACTTGTACATCATCGGGTACGAGGCTACAGATCTTCCAATGATAGTTCTGCCTTACAGAGAGTGATATATCTGTCCTCTAATATCTGAAACCTCTTTGACATGCCAAGTGCACGGTGCCATACTAAAATACCTCCAAATCCCCAAATCCATGTATGGTATACTGGCACCGACAGTTCTTGACGATTGGCTTCGGCCCTGATGATGTTCTCCAAGCTCTTGTCTTGTCCCGTCCATATTTTCTACCAGTATATCTCTGTGATCCTGTTCCAAAATAAAGATTATATCCACTGCTTGGCAGCTAGCGCGCTATCTGAATCATCTTTTGTTACTTTAGGCTGAAAGTCAACAGGTTGGCTTGTCCTTCGCAGTTAAATATTGGTAAACCCCAGCCGCCTTTTATACCGTAGTGGGCTATTTGTCGAGAAAAAAGAATAACTACTAAAAGAGATGACAGAGAAAAGGATATGAAGCCTTCCAGCATCCCTGCTAAAGCCTAGCTGGTCTCGATCAATCCGCTGTTGTGCTTTCCTTCGCTAACCTCTTTCTTCTGCACACTGATTTGCATATAAAGAGCTTCAGTTTTCATGCTTGGTTTTACTGTCATCTCGTACCAATCAAGTCTGGTTAAGTCGGCTGCTTAAGGTTGTGAAATTCTGCAGCTACGTACATATATCCTGAGCGAGCCCTTTTTAGGACAAATTCCGGGGTTTCTAGTGTGCGCGAGAACATTTCCATCCCGTTCCTTCCGCTCTATCGGATGAGTTGTTGGAAGCTCGGCGTCCAGAGTATGCTTTTCCGTATTAGAACCACTATTAGAATAAGACTATATAATATGCACGAGCGTCGAACCCTTCGCTGGCTTGATTTGCCCGATATCTACCGGATTGGATATTCACGTGTATGCTTCCATGGGAACATGTGGAGATTCTGGGCATTGAGAAGATTGACATAGAATCCCAATGCACTCACAATTGCAAGGAAGTCTTCGCGAGCTTCTTCCTGATTGGGATTGCTCTCAATCTTTTCCTTGATAAGTTTATCAGCTTTGCCATAGCTATCACGGAGGAACTCCACGCCCAGATGACCAATGAACTCGGAGATTGACGGGGTAAGCTCTCGAAAGAGTATTATCAGATGTTGAAGAGTAAACTCAGGACGCGTGGCAGCGAGTTTAAGAATATTGTCGAAGACGTGGTAGCCCAGAGTTCGAACAACGCTGCTCGAGAAGATCATAGCACCGAAGTAGGAATTCTTCGATCCGGGCTTTTCTGGGGCTTCGCCATGATGGAGCTTTTCGATTTCCTCAGAAATGCTCGACCAGGACTTCTCCGTCTATGTACTAGGGCTCAGTAAGGGGCTAACTATCAATGACAGCTTATGTAAACGTACCTCCTTATGAATCTCGTCCACGAAACTCCTCACTTCTTGGCTTACCCCAGTTCTCTGGAACTTAAATAGCGAGATCTGTTTAGGATCAGGTTCGGACTTTGAAGCATCCCAAACGACCACTTCAATAGGCTGTTTCGCTTCGCATTGACTTTTCCAAACCTCGTCGGCAACCCAGCGCAGCGTCTGGAGATCTTCATCGATAACCCTTCCACACGTGGCTACAGCTTGATGCTCAGTGACCTCACCATATTTTATGACTAGGTGCTGGAATGACGAAAGAAACACTGAACCATCAGGCTCCTTGGCCCGATCAGGGGCCTTCTTGTCGGCGGGTGTGTACTTCTCGTGATTAGTGGTATGAAACTCTCCCCTAGTAGTGGCCACTCACAATCAACTGCTCCAGCGGAACAAGGTGGTATAGCTGATCCCCAGCGACAACAGCATGCGTCTGAAGAGAATGATACGGCAATACGGTTCCGAGAAGCTTAACCAATGTTGGATTTGAGTCGTTAATCTTCACAGTAACTGTAGCATCAAGCTTAGGCCACTTGATCTTGATCTCACGGGGTGCTTGAGGCTGCTTATTTGGGGAGCCGTTCATTGTGGAAAAGGTGGAAAGTCTCCAAAGGCAAAGACGGTAGATATTTATCGTATATTGATATATAGTCACGCACTTGAGCTTATTGACGGGGTCTCATTCCTACCTTTTCATACTCCAGAACTACATCCGCCTAACGAGAGGCGTAGAGCAGATTTATTCAAGCAGATGGGCCGACTATGGTTAGCATGTCCTAGTAGACCTGGTAGAGAGAGAAACAAAGCTTGCGTCAAGATTGCGTAGTACAATTGGCTCTCGACTTGTCTAACTTGGGCTCTCTATGTACCTCTGTTACCAAATGCGTCCAGACTCGGCAGTGGGCGCACATCCAGACCACGACCGGTCTCCACAAACGGCATCATTAAAATGGCTAATGAACGTTACATCCGTTATCACAGCTTTTAGTTTGGGTCAGGATTACCATAGATGATGTATCCACGAAAACCTGACATACCGGCCAGCTTCTGGCTTGTGGAAGCAGTTGTGTTTGCCTAGGCTGTCAATGTCTACCATGCGCACTCGTCGTGCAACATTATTTCTAGCCCAAGATACGGCTCTATGACCATTTTCATGTGACGAGTCAGTATAAAATGACCGGCGAAACACAACAGTATGGTTTTCAGCAATAAGCTGCCTTTACCTAGGGCGGAGTTTCCCTAAATTTGCTCGCTGAAGTCTTGACAGTCTTCTCATACGTCCTACTTTACATAGTGAGCTCTATCATTTATATTACTTCGACCTATCAGCATAACCTTCCACGTGAATATTGCATTCTTGGCTGTCCCTTTCTGATTCATCACTTCAGTGTCAGTCACAAGATCATCTTTCGCCCAAAGCACTATGGATTGAGCATACTGATGGATTAGGTAGAACATTTTTGAGAATGACCGCCGCGGATACCAATGAGTCTAGGGGAGATCCCTTCCGGAAAACCTGCCTTGTGCCCTACGTGGACGTTGATTCGGCCCCTCCTGCTATTCAAGAGAAGCTTAAAGTGCTTCCATTTCGGCGTAACATCCTCCTGACGTTGGCTCATTCCCGGGGCCTATTTCCACATTTTAGCGGTCTCCTGGGTGCTTGTTTCGATGGGAAACAGCGCAATCTGCCAGTCTTCGATTGGCAGTTGATCGTGCTGCGGATTGCTACAGTCCTCAAGGCTAAGTATGAGTTTGATGTTAATCAGCCTGTGGCTGAGGTATTTGGATTCCCGAAAGAAAAGATCGACGCTATTGAGTGCTCTACTCAAGAAATCTTGGATGGTAGAGGTCCGTGGACTGATCGGGATCTGGTGATTCTTCGCCTTATCGATGAACAGCTGGCGACTTATGACAATAAGCCTGAAACAGTCAAGGACGCTCTCGAACTGCTGTCCGTGGAGGAAACAGTCGAGGTTTTAATGATGATCGGTATCTATGCGCTATTAGCTCGGGTAATTAAAGGCTTAAAGGTGGATGATGACCAGCCGATTCCTGACTTGAAGGATAAAATCAAGGCTGCCATTACTGATTGATGAAAGTCATCTGTAATTCTGGCACTCGATCTGTTATTCAATAGTGATTTTTGAAATACTATGTCGTATCGAAGTCCAGACAGTATAAGTTTTCTTACATTGTACGAATATGGCCTGAAGCGTAGTCGAGTATTCCAGTCACAGTGACTCCAGTTATGGGCGCTAGGGTTCTTAAAGCCACATATTACGATCCTTCTTGACTTTTGTCTAGCTCTCGCTCAGTCCAGTTGTTTTAGCCGGTTGTTATATGGGTGATTAAGTGGTGTCTACGGTAGGTTGATTACAGGGCGTTTGACGCGAACCGAGACTAGTGTGTTCTCAATAAAGTACGGAGTACGGAGTACATAACCAGATAATGGGGAATCTAGCTCAACACTTGCCATTCGGACGGACTTTAAAGCTTGCAGATCACTCTTGCTACAAGCTTGACTAAACCTTTCCTCGAAGATTGGTGAGGCGAATCATGTTTTAGCTGCTAGCTGCAAACCAGGGGACCACTCTGCAAGTGGACTTCAGTGTTTCGGGGTTTCCAGGGCTGTGGTATGACTGACCTAGGGCGAATCTTTTCCGAACGAAGAATATGAACAAAGTTTGCAAAACCTTCTCATAGGGAATACGGACTGCCTGGTTTGTAGAGGTTCTCGAGACCATATGAAATGTCCCTCTCATTGCGTAAGGGCTACCCGGTGCTACCGGGTGCCCCGCCCACACCGCAGATTGTCCTCGACACCAGTGCGTAGATGACTTCAGCGGATCTCCCGATTGGATGCATGTTGACGCCTGCTGCACGATATCTATACGGAATATACCAATAAAACATATAACTGTATAATATAATCTAAAAAAGTATTAGTTTGAAAATCAATCATTCTAATGATGTAATATGAAACCATTGCTCCAGACCAGGTTCGCCCTTGAACCTGGCTAATGAAAACTTGATCAATAACCTGCAATGGTCGCCGTCATTGACTTTATATTGTAAGAATCGCCCCTGTGGAGAATAGGTAACGCAACCAGGTACCGATCCGTCCGGGCGATCCGGTCGATCCCATTTACAAATAAGATAAAACAAGATTTGTACTACTAGTGCTAAGGTTCAAAGTTTATTGGCACTCTTATCTATTATTATCATTTTTTTGTGAAAAATAAAAAAGAAAGGATCTTGCAGCAGTCCGTTTGCAGCTGACTTGTAAGCTCGAATCATGTTGGTTGACCAGCTAAACTCTTCCAATGCTGCCGGGAAACCTTTACTAACCCAAGCGGCATTTAAAGAAGCTTAGGAGATTCCGAATGGTCCTTTCGTACTTGAGGAAGGACTGGAAGGCACACTTCACGTGGCTCAGGCATCTGGTGTACATATTTGCTGTTTACCGTCTTTCGTCCTCAGAATTTTACCTCCTATTGAATGATTACCTTGAGAAAATATATATAGGAAAATAAAGATTAAAAAACTCTTTATTATGACAATTGCAGTATGGGCCAAAACCCCTTCTTAGTGGACTTTTGCTGAATCCCCTTCCCAATAGGCCGTGGGGCAAATACGCTCCACCGCTGATATATCAGCAAATCTCGCCCAATGCCGAAGGCTGGTGCACAGGGCAGCTGCAGCGGGTGCTAAAGTACGGTGTATCCGAGTGGACATTATTCACTACTGCCCTCTAATACTCGAGCAGGCACTGTTTCTTCCTGAGGCGTCTGACTTCGTCGCCAGTTCACCACAACAGAGTGTTAGATTGGCGTATCCCTTGGGGGAGAGTGAGTTCGTCCTGGGCCTCCGGAGGGAAGCCCAGCGAGCGGGACTGCATGTCAATGTTGGTATTCATGAACCAACAACGGGTGACCGAGTGAAGAACTCCTCGATCTGGATCGATGACAAGGGAGTCATCACTCAACGCTACCATAAGCTGCACCTATTCAATACGACTACGGAACAAGAAAGCAGGCATGTACACGTTCTCGGCATTCTGCTCTTATCTACTAATGCCAACTTCCTCAACTAGGACAGTTGAAAAGGGAAAGGGTATACTACCTGTGTTCGAGACCCCAGTTGGCCGCGTCGGCTTAATGATGTGCTTCGACGTAAGTCAAATAAACGAGAGCTTTAATATGAGGAGGCCAGCTAAACTCATGGCGTTTTGGCCGCAGTTACGCTTTCCAGAAATGAGTCTCGCGCTGAGGCGACAAGATGCTCAGATACTTAGCTATGGCTCGGCTTTTTTAGCTGAGACTGGACCTGCGCATTGGGAGACGTTACTCCGGGCTCGAGCCATTGAGACACAATGCTATGTTATAGCAGCGGCACAAGCTGGACCGCATAATGAGAAAAGAAGTAGTTATGGCCATGCAATGATTGTAAATCCTTGGGGCGAGGTTGTGACTCGACTCGGAGATGAGCAAGAAGTACCTGAAATTGCAACAGCTGATATTGACCTTGGTTTTTTGTCAAGAGTCAGGAAGGAGATGAAGTTGCCAAGAAGGACGGATATTTATTCAAAAATATAGAATTTCTACCAGGTGTTGGCGACATTGCTGTATCTCTTCGAGTCTCGCTGCGCTTCCTGTGCTGAAAGCTACCTGCCAGAACTAGGATATCTCTTGTGTCGAAAGACAATCTGTATCATATTTTGAAAGTGATCCTTTTTTCTTTATTTCTTTTTAAGGGATATATCAACGTTATTTAATAAAAATTGTTGGTATAGTGAAATAGAAGCATTAAGTGACATGTCACAGAACACATGGATAGGGTTGCATCAGGTCCGTCATCTCTAATCATTTGTTACATTGCCCAGCCCCTTGGTCGCGTTTCAGGTGAAAGTCAATTGGGTGATGAATTGGTGAGCTGCCCAAGAAAAAGATTCAATCGGATTTGGCTCTTTTACCTTCCTTCAGGCCAAATATCAGTCATTATAAAATTGCAGCTGTGTACGTCATACCTATATTTAGTGATTCTTTTACTATATAAAGCTATAATAGCCGTACCAAGATTCACCCGCTCAGGTTCATTAGTACCACTAAGCCCTGTAGCTCTACAACGCGCAATCAGATTCCAGCTCCTCAATTCAAGCTAAACTCTGTTTCTTGGCCCCCTGTGCAGTACCTCAAACATGGTCCGCTTCGAACAGCAAATAGTCCTCCCCGGAGCTGAGTTTCCCCTGGAGACCGCAGTGGCACTCGTGGACTACTATAGCAAAAGCAACTATTACGTCTACGAACGCGGTGATAGGTGGTACCTCGGGCTTGGTGCTCATGCATCCCTAGTCCTCGATCCAAAGGGACAAACCGCGACAGAAATCGACAAAGAGGGACGGAAAGAGTCGATCCCCATAACCAACTCGCCTACGGACCAAATCAGACAGTTTGCCTCCAAATACTCCAGCCATGGAAAAATATTTGGGCAGGTCGGTTTCAACTATTCTGCGCGCTGTTCAGGCCAGGCCTACGTGCCAAGTCGGTGGCCGATGCTAAGCCTCATGGTTCCCTGCGTGCAAGTCAGCATAGATCGTAATCAGATTATAGTCACAGGATACGCTGAAAATGAGGTCTGCGAAGTTAGCAAGCATATCAAAGGCAGACTCGGAACAATCTCCATGGACAATATATATCACCCATCCAAGCCCCATGGCGCGATTGACCTCACAGTGAACGCAGGCGAGTACAAAGCCCGCGTAGCCAACGCAATTACAGATATTGCTGAGGGCAGATATACCAAGGCTATTCCGTCCAGGAAAGTTCCCTTGGATTTTCGGGTCGATATGCTAGCGACTCTCCTCCACGGCCGACGAGCGAACAATCCTGCACGCACATTCTCGCTTAACCATATGGGCATGCAGGCGACCGGCTTTAGCCCTGAAGTTCTTCTCTCCATCGATGACGGGAATGTCTATACCGAAGCACTAGCCGGGACCCAGCGTTCGGAATCGCCCGAGGCTAGCCTTGATCCATTCGACAACAAATTACATAACGATGCCAAGGAGGTTATGGAACATGCCATTGCAATCAAGGGGTCCATCCGTCGGTTGAGCCAGGTGTGCCTTCCTGAGTCAATCTTTATTAAAGATTTCATGAAAGTTATGCCGCGAGGAAGCGTGCAGCATCTCTTTTCCCATGTGTGTGGACGTCTGGGATCAAACTACGACGGCTGGGATGCTCTACCGGCTCTTATAGCCAATATCACCGTCCCTGGGATGCCGGGACAGGGGAACCTGGAGGCAATTCGGTGCTTTGAGCCTGAGCCCAGGGATCTCTACTGTGGTGCGGTGCTTATGCTGGATGAGTGCTCAAAACTCTTCGATGCGACGCTGGTTCTTCGCACAGTGTTCCAGGATGAAGGTAGGCAGTGGCTACAAGCTGGGGCTGGAGTCACGAAATACTCAAACCCAGAGCGTGAGTTTGCCGAAACATGCGAAAAGTTGGAAAGCGTGGCGCCGTTTGTGGTGACCCAGCGTGATTCAGTTCGAGGAAAATCAATTGCATAACCAGAAGGATTTGAATCCATGCAGTGAGAATATTATCCTGATATAACAATGCATCTGTTTGACGAAATGCTTACTCAAAAATGGCCTTACAAACCTGGTTTTTCTTGTTAGTAGTTGATAGGTCAAGGAGAATAATAATCCTGTATTTAACAATTTAATTAGACAAGGCACTAGAGCAATCTAAGGAAATACTTAAAAAGATTCTAAGTAGTAATATAGTCATAATAGAGATATTACTAGATTAGGAAATTATTGTAAATTTATATATCTACATAGCAGAGCTGCCTATAAAGGGGTATCTTACAGGCTCTGCCTGCTGGTAGACAGCCTAACCATTATCCAGGCTAATAGCCTCCGTTAGATAGTCTCATGACAGTCCATTCTCTCGCTTCTAGCTACTACGAATTCAGCAGCTTCCTTTTTCAGTTCCTTCGTAACACTATGTTATGAAAGCTAATCTTGAGCGTCGAGTCCGCCCCAGGGCAGTGGGTACAGCAGATCATTATTCTTAGCATGTCCTCAGGGCTCTTGCCAAGAATCTCTGGCTTGAGGGCGGCTTCTTAGCTATGGATAAGCACCACTGTGAGAAGTTAGATTGGACTGTCTGACTATGGCATAAGCTCAATCGATCCCAAGTCCTAACGCAACCGAGTCACCGAGTCAGTGGCAGTGGGAAGACGACAGAAGGCCATTTGTACAATCTGTGTGCCCTTGCCTCGAGAGGATGCCTCCATTGACATCTTTTGGAAGCTTGAATACGCTTAGCTCTGTCGGATGGCTATTTCAGCCTCGTTTCCATAGCTGCCGATCATCCCCTCCCGAACTCCTGAACGGGCTGTACATACTCCTCACCGACTGCGCTATTGTCGATCGGTATTCACCTCTAGTGAGAGTGTCAGCTGGGTGTTGAGGCGTTCTAAGCTAGCGTACTAATGCAAACTACGGGACTGTTGTACGGTATTTGTGGCGAACGCACTATTAGGCCAGCTGTCCCTCGCGCGAAGCTCGACGAGACCACGCAAGGCGCAGCCGAGAATGGTTATTCGCTGTTCTTTGCGAGATTTCTCCAGCGCAGAGGGACTGCTGCAGGTTGACCTGGTAGCCGAACCTTTCAGGAGTCATATTCTTGAGGATACAACTTTTGCGCCCGGTTCTCCGTACCTTCGGATATGGCTAACCCTAGGCCAAGCCTATAGAACACTCCATAGGATCGGTTGACTTATGAAAAAACAGGCTGGATCTTCCCACAATTCCTCAAAGCCAACCGCTCAGCCATCAACACCTCGTACACATGTGAGACCCATCCGCAGCAAATCTTCCTTGTATCCTTGGGATCGACAATCTCCTGCACCCCAAACGCATTGGCCGTCCGCACGGGATTCATCAGCCGCAGATATTCCTCCTCCAACTCTTTATACCGTGCAGCCTTGCCCTCTTTCCCGCCTCGTTGCTCCGCCTCTCGCAGTTCCTGGCGATGGCCCACCTCGATTCCCCCGTCCAGCGGCAGAGACCCCCAGTTCCCGGACGGCCAGGCAACCTGCACGACGGGGTCCCGGGCACCGAGCATGACCCCGCCGGCGACGCCATATGCACGCCTTGTGATCACGTTGAAGATAGGAGTCGTCGTAGCAAAGTAGGTTTTGGCTAACTCAACACCCCAGCGCATCGTGGCGTTGCGTTCGGCGACGGTCCCAATCGCATATCCCGCTACACATTAGCATTAGCATCTTTTCTTACAGTAGCAAGGGAAAGACCGAGACATACGGACGTCGACGAACTGCACAACCGGCAGATTCATCACATCGCACAGCTTCAGCAGCCGCGCCAGCTTCTGGCTCCCCGCCGCATCCAGCGCACCCCCATTCACCTCGCAGTTATTCGCGATGATCCCCACCGGCCGCCCACCCAGTCTCGCTAGCCCCCCGATCGCCGTGCGGCCCCATAATCCCCCGATCTCAAACCACGAGCCCGCGTCTACTACAGACTTGATGATAGTGTAGGGGTTGTACATCCTCGCCGCACGCCGCGGGATAACAGTCCGCAAGCCGACATCCTCTCTGTCCACTGGATCCTCGCACTTCACGACCGGAGGCGCCTCGCCGCCATGGTTGGGCAGGAACCCGAGGACCGTCCGCAACTGCTCGAAGCACTCGGCCTCATTGGCGGCAAGGTTATCGATCGTCCCGTTGGTGCAGTGCACCATGGGCCCGCCTAGGTCCTGAAAATCCAGTCCTTCCTCGAAGGTGGCGTTGGCGACGACCTCCGGGCCGGCATTGAACAGCGCGCCGATATCCGCCGCCATGACGGAGAAATGACACGAGACGACGCGTGCTGCGCCGAGACCGATCTATCACCATTAGTTTAGACCAGAGGAATGGAGAGAGGAAGAGGGGGGAGGTACAGCAGGTCCAACGACAGCCCCCAGATTTGGAATGCCCTTGTTCAGCTGCTCGACGACCTGCGCGTACATGCGCACGTAGGGGAGGTAGCTCCATCCTTCTTTGCGGATGGTGGTCACGCTGCCGCCGCCGGAGCTGCCGTCGACGAGCTTGATGACGGGCAGTTTGAGCGCGATGGCTAGCTTCTCGGCGTAGATTGTCTTGTCTGCTGTTGAGCCGTCTGCATGTCCGCTGCGGATGCTAAAGTCGTCGGCTGTGAGGAGGACGCGTCGGCCGCGGAGCTTCCCGAAGCCCTGGACATTGTTGCTTGGCGTGAAGGATTCGGGGACTTCTGTCGTGGGACCTGTGGGTTTCCAGGTGACGGTGCCAGAGACGGAGCCGATTTCTTCGAATGAGTTGGGGTCGAGGAGCTGGGTGATGCGCTCGCGGACCCAGAGCTTTCCGGCTTGTTTTTGGCGTGTGTAGCCGCGGTGAGACGGGTTGGGGGTTGCGGCGATGTCTTTGAGGGTGGTGATGGTGGAGAGGACGTCGGAGTAGTCTGGTGGTAGTTTGGCTGTTGACAGGTGGGAGGAGAGTTGATTCAGACGTTTCGCGGCTGTGTCGTCTTTCATTTTGTAGATTCCTCAATGCTTCAATGTACTGATACTGTGCAAGATGCTAGAATGATATAAGATTGCGGGGAACCGAGAGCCGAGGTTCCCCGCATCGTTCTCCAGATCTATATCTATATCAACACTTGGCTCTACACATCACTGCCAATCGATGCACTCAATCCATAATGAAAAAACTCCTGATAGCCAACAGAGGCGAGATTGCAGTGCGCATCTTGCAAGCTGCCCGCGAGCTTTCACCCCCAATCCACACTGTTGCCCTGTCCACCACTAACGACACATCGCATTGTCTCCTGGGCTACCCCGATCAGACCATCTCGCTTCCCTCTGCAGCATCCTATCTCGATATATCCCTGCTCGCACAGATTTGCCAGGAACATGGGATTGACACCGTTCACCCAGGCTACGGCTTCCTTAGCGAATCGCCCGAGTTCGCTCGCCGCATGCACCAAATCGGGGTGACTGTCATCGGGCCGGGGGCTGAAATTCTCGAGCGGACAGGCGACAAACTGCAAGCCAAAGCGCTTGCTGCATCCTGCGGGGTTCCAGTTCTCCCCTCTCACTCCGCGCAATCTCTCGACGAGATCCGCGCGTTTGTGGAGAAAGTCGGGTACCCAGTCATGATCAAAGCAGTAGACGGGGGCGGCGGACGGGGGATCCGGCTGGTCCACCAGCACCAAGCATCCGAGCTAGCAAATCTGGTGGCAAGAGCCCGGAGCGAATCCCCATCGCAGACCGTCTTCGTCGAAAAAGCCGCCGTGGACGGCTTCCACCACGTCGAGGTACAGGTCCTCGGCGACGGGACAGGGACCGTCCACCACCTGCACGAACGAGACTGTAGCGTGCAGCGACGGTTCCAGAAAATTGTCGAGTGTGCCTCGTCTCTTCTGGACCGGTCGATTATTGACAGCGTAATTGAAGCGGCGCTGCGCATCGCCCGCACAATCCGGTACCGGTCGCTCGGTACATTCGAGTTCCTCGTCAGCGAGAGCAACCCCGAATTCTACTTCCTTGAGATCAACCCCCGTCTGCAGGTCGAGCATACCATCACCGAGACCGTGACAGGGGTGGATCTCGTACAGGCACAGCTGCGACTGGCCCGGGGTGAGTCTCTCCAGGCCATCCTGTCAGACTCTGTGTCGAGACCCTCGGCACGATCCATCCAGCTCCGTCTCTGCGCCGAAGACCCCAGCGCCAACTTTACTCTGAGTATTGGCAAAATCACCGACTTCTTCGTGCCCCCCGGCCACGGCGTCCGCGTCGACACGCACCTCTCCCCGCCAGTAACCGTCGCCTCGGACTTTGACAACCTCCTTGCGAAAATCATCGTCACGGCATCGAGCTGGGAGTCCGCTGTGCGAAAGGCGCGGCGCGTGCTGAGCGATACCCGTATCGAAGGCGTCAGGACGAACCTGCCCCTCCTCCGGGGGATTGTCGCATCCGAGGACTTTCTAGCGGGGAGAGTCGACACGCAGTGGCTGGAGAGGAATCTCCAGTCTGTCCTGGGAACAGGCGAACATATCTCCGCCTCGCTTGTCTCGGTTCACCAGCCGTCCAAACCGGCGTTACAGCTGCCGACGTCCTCCCTCCTCTTCCGCCGCGGCGACGCATGGAGCATCTCCCTCTCCCCTCTAGCCCTATCCCCAACGTCAAAAGAAGAGACGGAAACCAGACACCACCTCCGTCTCGCCCGCGTCCTCCGCAATGACTTCCCCTCTTCCCTAACCGCTGAGATCGAGTATACCACGCCATCGGCGTCCATTCCATACAAACTCCACCTCGCAGCAACAGGCGCAAACACCTCAGCTAGCGCCCTCGTCTCGGGCCATCGTCGCGGCGACCCGTTGAACCCGCGTCATATTGTCCTCCCGCTGTCTGGGAAATTAATCGAGGTGCTGGTGAGGCCTGGCGAGACCATCGCGCAAGACCAGGTTGTTGCGTTTGTGAAGCAGATGAAGATGGAGCTGGAGGTAAGGAGTCCGCGGGCGGGACGGGTCAAGTGGGCGTTTGAAGTGGGGGATGGGGAGGAGGATGTGGTTGAGGGGATGTTACTCGTCGAACTCGATCCTGTCTCTGTGAGTGTGCCTGAGAAGGGCAAGCTTTGATCGAGTCTACCTCGTGACAGTTGACTCTGGTATATCAATGTGATGATTCTATTAGGGTTAGGCATGGGAAAGGTAAAGAATTGTATAGGATACTCTACGTACCATTCATAATACACATCAATACATAGATATATACAATGCCACATGCAAGCAGAACGCTATAGACATACATTCATATCAAGATACAGACATCACCACTCATCATGCACAAAACCCTAACCCATTGTCATCTAACGATTCCCCGCAGCTATCGGAACCACCCCATCGACCAACAACTCAAAAGCCGGAGGATAGTGAGCCCCCTGCACCTCAGTCAGGTAAACCTAGGCCGCTTAAGCGGTTTACCCGCGCGCAGATTAACCCACGAGGGAATACTCTGCTTCGTGAGCTTGGCTTGACGACGTCGGAGGAGGACAAGTAGAAAGAAGGCTAATGCGCCGATGGCAGCCGCACCGGTGACAGACCGACAGTTACTCCGGCTATGGCGCCGACTTATAATGACGGCGATGATTCGGGAGTTGAGTGGATAATGATGTGGATGTTGCGGAAGTGCTGGGTGAGACTGGGTAGAGGTAGGCTGTACGCTGCGCTTTCTGAATGAGCAGGCGAGCTGTGTGCTGTTGAAGCTGTTTTTGTGTTCGGTGAGGGTTGCGCCGCGGTTGGACTGTTACTGTTAGTGGAAGAGCCCGAGAAGTGTGCTATAATGTAGTACGAGAACCTACCCCCGCCGATCGCTTCCGAAATCTTAGGTGGAATCGCGCATCCTTCAATATCCCTTGCGTTGTACTTTGTTCTCCAGGAGAGAGTCTGCAGGTCTCCCTATTCCGTTGGCAAAAGTCGTGGTGTCGCAGTTGCATGCCTGAGGATAATACGCCATCCCATCAATTGAGGTAATCCCGCCAATAACCAACATGGTATGTTTATGGACGAGCTGGCATTTGTGCTTGTATCGGACAGTATTGTCTCGTAGACTCGAATCCATTGGAAAGAGGGTATGGAGAGGACGTAGACGTCGCCGTCGGAATCTCCTGTATTTTGTGCCATTCCTCTGAAAACATAGCTACTGATCTTAGCGTGTCATTGATCAAACTGTCTGGATGACTTACATTGAATAAGACGATAGATCGTCCGGCACTACCACGATGCAGCCGGCCATTCGCCAGCGCGGAATGTCGCCCCTTGTTTGCTGCGTGTACCATTTCTTGTTGGGGATATCGTAGACACGAACGAATTCCATTGAATTCTAAGTCCTAGACCGCTAGCTAAAGACCGACAACGAAAGAGAAAAGACCATACCTGACGAGTGGTATCATTCTGCCTCGCAGCCAAAACAGAAAGCTTCTCGCCGCCGGGATACGTATATCCTCCAAAAGCCACGAGGCCCTGGTCACCCGCAGATTCGATCAGATTCACGTAGCCAAAGCCAATGGTACCGAAAGTGCCCATATCGGCAGTTGACGTATTGGTCCACTCGAGTGTATTCATATCTAGCGTAATCAGCCCCCGGGGTCATGGACGTATCCGCCCCAGGGGTATTATGGAAGACAGGGTTCCCAGCCGGATGCAAAGTGCCGCTTAGATAGTAAGCGTTTTTATCGACGGACGACTGGACCGAGCCGCCCTGTGTGAGTCTGACGAGAGGAACGCCCCAGAACCCGTCCCTGGTCCAGTTTTTATATGCGATATCGTACTTCCATGTTGCCAGCGGCGGGACCGGCGGCCCTCCCCACTCGCTGGCATAGCCTCCGTAGAAGAAGAGGCTTTCGTTATTAGAGAAGGAGGCTCCTTCATTCAGGTACGGGGGACAGTCAGCAGGGTCTGATGCATTCCATGGCTTGCATGTAGTTGAAGAGACCAGTGTCGGAGTTCTGCCATGATCTTGACAGGTCGATTGTTTCGAGATCGGTGACTGCAAGGTCAGAGAGAACGACAGACTAAGGAGGGAAACGGACATGCCAAGGGGATTATGGTGCCATTTGGCAAGAGGGTGTGCAGTTCCCCGCCATCGATGAATAGTGCTTGGTTGTTGACAATGGCTGAGAAGTCAATGATGGTCAATATCCATAGACTGTCGATACGCACTTGAATGAAACAGTCAAGTGCAATTGGTTGGAGCAAGACTAAGCTAGAATATTATATGTAGGAAACCGAAGATCGAAGCATATCGCGTCATACTGGACTATGCTATATTATATTCAGCTTTTGGGCGGAACACGGTGTTTACAGTAGTTGCCCGAAGCCGAATGCACAACATCATGACTTATGATTGATCATGGTCAAGAATTGACATCATGGCCGTTGCGACGATATGAGCTACTGAGCTCATTCGATATAAGACATGTTGGCGAGCATGTTTCTACATTGTACGACGAGATTGACGGAGGGGAGCAGACTCTCCTCTCTTATTAGCTTGAGAGGAAGGTACCAACTGTGGACAATCCCGAATTGCTATATTCATTTTATATTAAGGCTTTCTTAGGCGCACGACGCGTAGGATGAACAACTATCACCATACGTCCATACCTCAAATATGCCAGGTTCTCCAAGGCCAGGGAGTTCTGGTTGGGCCAGGGAAGAGATCCTAGACTCCACAAAGACCCTTAAGGCACTTGGCAAAGTAGACAGCTCGATGATCGATGATATTAATGGCTGATTCCGACAAGTTTAATCCACTCGTGAGTTGTGCCAGCGTGGAACTGCTGAAACGTTTGCGGAAGCGCCCATGCCGCCGAGATTTCCCCATTCGGTCTCTACGGCAAATAGGGAAAACGGGTTCGTGGAGATAATCCTTCTTTTTCTTTCTTAGCTGCGGCACTTCATAATAGTATTACATGCCCAACCTTTCAATTGCCGGCAGAATATATGGCGAGCAATGAGGAGAAAGATGTCGGTGCCCCTTTTCAAGGTTGGCGACCAATTCCGACGGACACAGTAGTGCTTACACATCAATAGGTAGTACATTAATCCTTGTTTAGCGCCGGGCTAATCGTACCATTTTAGCCAATTAATTAGTCACTTGAGTGTGAAGCGCATGGGTTGCACTTGTACATGAATGTCGTCGGACTGGCTTGGGGCCAAGAAGGGGGAGCCAGGTTCAATCCATGCATCATATGTATCCCGGCACATGGTAGAGTAGATCAACTGGAAGAACCTTAACCTAATCTGATCCTCAAAACGAACCCTTTTAGCAATCGACAATCCTCCCCCTTGCCATGGAATTGAATCCAAACCAATCATTGGATTCCGGTGGGACTCCATACCAGGGCCCAGACGGCTTGGACTTAGCGGCATTCTGCGAGACTGTCAACAGGCGTCTTACTCTGCCCCATTCAGTACAGGTGTTATTAACTCTTAAAGGTTAGTACCGTACTTAAAGTGGCCCAACTGCTTCCGGTTCCGCTTTCAAATCGATTTGCTCCAAAACCTTCGACATCCAACTGGCAGAGTTTCAGGCCCCGGTCGTCTTAGGGACATGGCGTTGCGCTGACCTGGGATGAGCCCGGTGTTTGATAAGGCGCTGAAGGGCCACCTCGGTTGCGACCATTTTCCCTGAATCTCTCTCTTTCTGTGCGATTATTTTTCATCGCCTTCCCCCCCCTCATCCAACATGGTGAAATTGTCGCCATTGAGGGTTCGATCGGCCGCTCTTATATTTTCAGGGGTCTCGTTTACTCTGGGGGTTTGGTTGTTTGGTGGTCGGACCCACGAACCGGTGGGATTTAACATTCCGTACAACCACGCAGATTCCCCATCACCACCAGGAGACCATCCGATCGATCAACTCATCAGAAATGCCGATGCAGAATGGCGAGCGCTGCTGGGAAAGGAGGCAAAAACTTTCGAGGCCGCAACGGAGGAATATCGTCGCCGTCGGGATCGACATCCACCTCCAGGCTTCAAAGAGTGGTTCGATTTCGCTCGATCCAAGGACGCGCTCATTATTGAGGACTTTTTCGATCAGATTTATGATGACTTGAACCCATTCTGGGGCCTCCAACCGAAGGAGATCCGACGACAGGCGCAGAGTCTCAAACCTCGCATCGCTGTTCGCAAGCATAAAGCGACCGCCATCGCGGACCACGAAGCCCTTTGGTTAAACTCATGGCTCAGTCTTGTGCGCAGCATCCAGCAGTACCTTCCCGACCTTGACATGCCGTTTAACCCCATGGATGAATCGCGAATCGTTGTGCCTTCGGAAACCATCGCCGAATACATGGTCAAGGAACGCGTAGGCCGACAGGCGATGCGAGATAAGAGCCCTGCGGAGTTTATCACGGAATACGCAGCTGCTAAAGATGAAGCCACGTCTGAGAAATTCGAACCTCGCTTCCTGGGTCCCAACGATGGTAAGTTCTGGGATATGGCTCGGGTCGGCTGCCCGCCAGACAGCCCATCGCGCAAAAGTCACACCATCGACCCGGCTACAATCCTGCAGGTGTCCTTGGAGAACTTTCTGCCCCACTCGCAGAATGGCTATGTGCGCAACTGGACCCAGTCCAAGGATATCTGTTGGCGTCCGGAGATGCAGGCGCTCCACGGCACCTTCATCGAGCCCGTGTCCATATCCTCCGCGCACGAACTCTTTCCTCTCTTTGGAGGATCCAAGCTGCCAGTCAATAATGAGATCCTCATACCTCCTGCTATGTATTGGGCCAAGGACAAGCGATACTCTGGCGGCAACAAACACGGTGGCCCATGGGAATTCAAGAAAGATTCCTTGATCTGGCGTGGCATCGCCTCGGGGGGTCGAAACCGAGTCAACAACTGGACGGGTTTTCAGCGCCATCGTCTAATAGCCATGCTGAACGGCACATCCGTCGCCGCTGCCGAACGGAACAATTCTCACTTTGTGAATTTCATTCTCCCCCACTACGACTACTACAATCTAGCCTCGGGGCATGCCGGCCGCCTCCACGAGTTCGTGGAGGACCATGTCGACGCGGGCTTCATCCATCTCGTCTGCTACCCCTGTGTCCCAGACCAGCCCTGCAAGTACGATCTGACAGATCCACACTGCGCCTACACGGAGCCGTACTTTGCCCTCGTCCCCGCCATGCCCATGGGCAAGCAGTACGACTACAAGTACCTGCCTGACATTGATGGCAATTCCTTCAGCGGACGGTACCGCGGGTTCTTATTATCGACTTCTCTCCCCATCAAAGCAACCATCTACGACGAATGGCACGACTCGCGGCTCATCCCCTGGGCCCATTTCGTGCCCATGGACTCGACGTTCCTCGATATCTACGGCATAATGGAATACTTTATTGGATACGGCGGGCCGGGCCATGACCACGCCGCGCGAAAAATTGCCCTGAACGGCAAGGAGTGGGCGGAGAAGGTGCTTCGCCGGGAGGATATGCAGATCTACATGTATCGGTTGTTGTTGGAGTATGCCAGGATCTGTGATGATAGACGGGATATTCTGGGGTATACCGAGGATATTCTATGGGTCGATCGTGAATAGACCGGCTGATGGTATAAACTTTTCTAATGTATTTACGACCCTCTTTTGTATATAAACTTTTGCACTAATAGAAATTGCTTTGAATGTTTCTACAAGGCGACTTCCTCTACCAGGTCATCCTGAGACTCTGGCCGGTGACCTTGCTGGAACTTGAGCCATTAGTTGTTAATTGAGAACGCTTAGAAATGTTCCGGGCTCTCCTATGAGCTTATGGAGAGGTCGCTTGTTCGCGCTCCTCGCGGTGCAACAAAGCTTAACGTAGCGTCAATCCTCTCATCAATTCATGCCGGTGCTGCTCAGATATACCATGGTAAGCCGCGGAGTATTCACCCTTAGCAAGCATCGTGTGGAACCAGGATGGATGAGATGAAGATGACCTTGCAGAGAGACAGACTGAGGCACCTTCATTCTCTTTGTGAGCTGCTGATGAGATAGCGTTTATAAGGTAGATGTGCTTGTAGACCTTATATAGGGTTAGTATCCTAGGCAAGACCCTGAGCTGGTGTCGGTGCTAAGGTCACGGCCTGTAGTTTTAGTGTTGTGGATTAGATTGAGTTAGGTTTGGCTGGATGGGATTATAGTGATGGTTAGATAGAGCTGTATAAGTGATAGAGGAAAGGAGGTGCTATATGAGAAATGAAGCCTAGTGTACACCTCTAGCCATGTCCCAGCTCCCTATTTAGAGATGGTGGGTGTTGGGGGGGTGAGTTAGGGCTATCTTATAACTAATTATGGTATTCATGCGGGGTTGAATTAGGTGCAGCAAAGGTATATCTCCCCTTCTTTTTCCCAAAGAGGAATATGAAGCAGGTACGCAACGATCATGTAATACCTGCATTCGTGCCTTGGCTGTTGGAACCCATTTGCTCCACGGATAAGTAATTGGCGGAAGGGTACCCTCGGCCTGCACTAAACAAGGATTAAGGGAGACTACTGCTGCTACTGCGCCTGTCGTAGTTAATGCTGTAAGCATGGTTAACCTCAGAAAAGGACGGCCAACTTTGAAATGAGGCACCGATTGCCCAGTACGCAGGAGGCCCTTCTGCTTGACATCTTCCGACTGCGCCGGAAAAGGGGGTAGTTGTAAAATTCATGTAGTAGCCCGACTTGTAGGAGGAAATGGGTCTCACCAACCCCATGGAGCAGTATTGGCGCTAACAGCGGTCCCCAGCAGCCCAGCCTTCCTAGCAACGCCATAGTTTCGTGAATCTGGAGTGGGTTCAATATGGCTCATTACCATCGAGTTACCTTGTCTGCCTTAGTACGGGCCGTAGGGGCTTTAAGAGGTCCAATCATAACTCCCTAGCCCTCGGGAATTTGAGGTATTTAAGGTGTGGTTGTGGTTGTCCGTCCTATCCGGATGTGTCTAAGAAGCCTTAATATAAACTTAATGTAAAAGTAATTGACATTGTGTTCATGGTTGGTACCTTGCCTGTCACTTAAGCCGAATATGATAAGACAGTCTCCCCATTCTCCAATGAACTCGTCCTGTTGAACTCAATGTTCTATTGTATATTGATCCTTTGGACATCTACTCCCTCCCATCTGACAGTGCGCAGTATCACAGGATATGCATCAATATCTTTCCTTGCTCCGCATTCGGATACAGCTAGCTCTTGTATTTTGTCTCACGGTGGCGTACGTGATTCCAAATTCCATGATTTCCAAAGATTATGGGATAGCAAGACCGGTGTGTAGGGGTTAGCGACTTCAGCGTTACATCCATATCTAATATCTCTCCCAATCTACTGCACGTTCATTGTGCCAACTTTTCTTAGCGTGAGACACTCGGAGAATTGACCAGTCGCTTACCTTGTTCCTGTTGGTTGTCACCTAAATAGGACATTGCTGGTCTAGTCCAAGACTCCAGAATTTGCCAACGTACTCGGTTATAGAAGGCAGTGTTCGAGATGGCAGTCAATGGCAGTCAACGGGCTCGGCTATAAGAAGGCTCTCTTCCCCACACTCAGCAGTTCTATCTAGACAGTTACTCAAGAGTATCCTTTCCTCCAGTACCCTGCGAGCTGTTCAAAGTCTAGTATTCTAGAGTCCACGTCAAAATGCGCGCAACTCAGCTTGCTCTTCTTGCCCTTGCCGCTTCCGCAAAGCTGGCCACCTCCTTCGAGATCCCCGAGGGAATGATGGACGGGGTTTACAAGGTCTACCTCAACGAGAACGGTGTCGAAGTCCACGAGCCTCTTCTCCAGAGGATATCATCCAAGTGACAGACTCCGAATCCGAACAACACGAAGCAGCCCTTTTCGAGAGGGCGGACCCTAGTTTCGCTGTTACGTATTGCGGCTGTGGCATAACCATGCAAGTGGCCAAGTCTATGCAGCAGTCCTTTCCGCTATTCTAACTGCTTCAATGTAGGAACCATGGAGACTGCGACAGAGCCGTGCAGAACCTGAAGAACCTGTTCGGCGGCGGAACGGTTCGCATCGGACCGAATCTGGCGTGGTATTCGATCAGCGGCAGCGTGGTGGCATTCGCCTGCAACAAAGTTGCTGCACAGGCTGAAGCTAGTGCGGACCGTCTCACTAGAGCCCTCCAGGGTATCACAGAGAGGTGTGGGTGGTACGTTCCGGGGACCACGAGATTTGTCACCAACCTATGGCTCGATCCATACTGGGGATATATGAATTATCACCCTGGTCTGGACTTTTGTGCTGCGTCTACCAGCTCTAGATCTGACAGGTGTTGATACCCAGGCATTCTGAGTGTTTCAACTCTCGCGACGAATATGGACCAGGGCATGGTGGGAAATATGCTAGTCAAGCATCAGTGTTAGCTTATCAGTGTCCTTCAAATTTGTTCATTCGCTGCACTCGTAATCGAGTAGATGTCCTTAAGTAGATGTCCTTACCTCCTATCAACTTCCGGGACTATACTGAAGGAATGGATGCTACCTTATACATGGATCATACGGAAGAATGCTCAGCGAGCAGCTGTCTTGCAAATCGAGGGCAAGGAAGCCTAACGTTCAGAATGCCTCTTTAGTTCTAGCTCGCTCCAGTGTGCCCATCTGACGTGGAAGGTGTCCGGGTGGGTTACGGTTATCTTCTTGACAGTCCGCAACCGATGCCGGTGTTTCAGGGGAGAGTAGGACAACGGCTTGGGTGCCATTAGAAAGCCTCTAGGAGGAACAATGACTGACTGCGTCTCGTTATCGGATCGAACAATCGAGGACTAGGGCATGTCTTGACGAAGCTCCAAGTACCTCGAGAGTACGGAGATAACAAGGTCGATGTCGACATTGTTCGACGTGCACGGGGGTCTGTTTTCACCGCTGGAGCGCCGAAGCAGCCGGGTTGACGGCCGGCACGGCAGTTCTGGCGTGACGATCTGCCGTAGCGAAGGATCTCCTGCTCTACCCTACACAACGGGAACGCTGGTATCCGATGGCAGGTTCACGGGTGGCCAGCAATGATATTGGTGACGATGTTCTTCCCGGCCTCGTCTTGGTCCGTTCCTCAGCCGTCATTGGATATGCCTTGTGCTAGTTCTGATTGAGTCTAGTTTCAAATCCTGGCTCCCCGTCGTCGTTCTGGTCCATGCTCCTATACCATATGCCAATAGCGCTAATCGACCGGAAGGAATTACTAAGAAGACAAAGTTTTGAGTAAGATCCTACATGCATGATTTCTAGTTCTTGTCCTTATAGTTATGTTCTTCACTACGGGTAATTGGTGCTAAATCCTGCAGTTGTTTCGCCCCGGATTTAAGCCTGGGCTCAGTACGTCAAGGGAAGCTGGTTTCGCCGGAGGAGTTTGCCAAAACTGTTCAGTTTGCCTAGCACGAGGACATAGCTAAATACTCGTTAATTGCTATCCTTCACTCGTTCTTAAGACCATGTCGTACACTTAGCTGCTATTAGGGTGAGATAGGGTAATCTACATATCGTAACATAGCAATCGCACACTGTTGGCTAATTTTTTATGTAATTGACCTAGGTAGTTACCGGTTGAATATATTCCTCGTCTTAAAGCACTTGGCCATCTGTTCATATACTTTGACCCTTTCCAAATCCTTCTCTACCGTGGACGCATCCCATAACTGATTCTCCACCAGAAACGCCCATGCAACCCTAGGAGTCTGCCGGAATGCAAACACTAAATGATGCGCCATCTTGCAGCCAGCAGCGTCTGTTACCTCGGGATCTGCGCCATTAGAAAGTAGACAGCGAACCATCTTCAGTCCACTTCGGGCTGCCAGATGTAGAGGAGTACTGCCATCTACACTTGTTCTTGCTTGGATATCAGCGCCTGCTTCTAGTAGAGCCTCCACCCTACTAGGAACAAATGACCAAGCAGCACAGTGAATCGGGTAGACGAGTTCCAGCTCGTCTTGTTCGGGATCAAAGAACCACTCGTGTAGCAACTCACCCGTCTCCCCACCGGAGGCCAAGCAGCGCGAATCAGCCGGTGCGTTGACGTCAGCACCATACTGGATCAGATAGCGGACCAGTGTGGAATCCGCTTCTCCTCGGTTTGAAAATGCGGCGTAATGTAAGGCTGTGTGGTTTCCAGGATTTGATCCAATTGTTGGGTCAGCTCCGTGCTCGAGGAGGTACTTGGTCATAGTGCTCTGACAGGCGAAAACAGAAGAGTGCAATGGCGTCCAGCCATGGCTACCAGGTTCGTTCACAGTCAAGTTGCTATGATCTAGTATCCACTGCACAGTAGCTACACGACCAGCCTCTGCTGCGCGGTGAAGGATAGATCCATCTGTATTGCTCCGGGCATGGACATCCACACCAGTATCTACCAGCATCTGCACCACAGGTAGCGAACTATAGTATGCCGCTTCATGCAGCACAGTTTCCCCATAGAGATTGCGGAGCTGGACATCCGCAGAGGCAGTAATCAGTTCCCTAACAGCAGGAAGGTTATCCTCTCGCACTGCGTACCATAGTGGGCTCTCCCGCATTGAAGTAAGAGCATTGACATCTGCCCCTGCGGCAATCAAGTACTTCAACAAGGCTGTTTCATCTTCTTGACTCCCTTTCTTAACCCATACACTCCTTTCCCCAGCCGCAAAATGCAACAGCGTCTCTGCATGCGTAGTCACATCATGGATACTCGCCCCTTCGCGGAGTAACATCTGCACACACTCCAGGCTGCGGCTCATTGCTGCAAAATGAATCGGCCCTTTCTGCGCAGCGGCCGTGTCAAAAAGACTATATCCTCTCTGTTTGCGGTATTTGATAATCGTTTCAAGGATCTGTGCATCCCCCTTCAGTGCCGCCAAGTGGAGCGCATTCGTCCCCATCTCATCACTTCGGTCATGGACATTATGCTGGATAAGCAGTGTGACGATTTCGTGTCTGCCGCGCTGAATGGCCTCCTGCAGTGGATGACAGTCTAAACTGGGTCCATCAGGGGAGACTCCATCGTCTAGAAGTTGGGTAACAGTAGCAATGTCGTTGTGGTGGATTGCTTCAAATAGTGCGCGTTCTTCTTCTAGGCCTCGGGGTCCCAGTGAAAACATTAGATCAAGAGAAAGGAATGTAAGTTAGACAAAGCGAACGGGATGACCGTAACAGAAATCTAACGCAGTAGGCTAAAACAGGTGTCCGCGAGGTTTTCTTACTCTAGGTTACATTCCATAGATACCTCGGTAACTAACTAGTTCACGAGTCGGTAGTAAGAAAGGGAGCCCTTAGGCACTAATAAGAAGAAGTTAGTCTTGAACAGATTAGATAGTCTGATTAATAGTAGATCTTAGTTCCGATAGTTTATTATTCCATCAGAACGTGTTGATTGCCGATCTTGTCGATCCTGACTGCTCCAGGAATGCTGCCGGGAACTCGGGAACTCTGGAAAACTCCGCATTCTTCTCGTCTATCCACCTCCTGATTCTTCTCTTCTCTACTCTTGCCATTGCCATTGCTTCACCATCGCTTCCAGAACAACAATGTCTTCAGAGGATCCCCCCGGCAGAAGATCACTGCCGGCATGGCTCCATTTCAATTCGCACGATCTCAAAACCCTCTTCCGCTGTGCAGCCGCAGCATGGGTCGCGACTATCTTGATGTTCATCCATCCCACCCTGCGAACCATCGGCACAGCCACGTTTTTCGGATGGTAAGTTGATCATCCAGACGAATTGATTTATCTGACTTGATAGTCTTGCCCTGTTCATCAATCCCCCCTCCGGCATCCTCTTCATCTTTATCCTGGGAACGCTGACCCTGCTGATTGGTATGGCTCTCGCCTGGGCCTGGGGCGTCATCACCATGAAAGCCGCGCTGGCTGCGCGTCCTCAAACGGAGACGCTGGCCCGTCTGCAGATGCTCGGCCAGGAGGCGGCCAGGCAGGCGAATGCCACCGGACAGAGTGCGGCCAGCTTGCAGTCGCAGCTTGTCTACGATGGGTTCATGCTTGATGCGCGGGTTTCGGTCATTTACTTTGTTATGATTTGTGTATTCATCTACTTTTTGGTACGTTTTCCCCTCTTTTCAATCAATCCTGTGACTGACATGAAAAGGCCCGGCTGCGCGCATCAAACCCCAAGTTCACACTTGTCCAGATCTTCGGGACCATCATTGCCGATCTGTTCCTGACGATAGGCCCGCTTTTGCCTTCGTTTCGGGGGACGCTGCCGAAGCTTCTGATCATTCCTGCGGCGATTGGGGCAGGCCTGGGACTGGTCGCCTCGTTGCTGCTCTTCCCGCAGTCGACGTCGCATGCGGTTCTGGCGGGTATGCAGGCTTTGGTCGAGTTGGCGAAGCAACCGCTCAGATTGACGGCCGCTCCTACTGATGATCTCGATTTGAAAACGTTGATGGCGCTTAAGACCCAGCTCATCGCCGGATACAAGGCCATGGAACCCGCGATGGGCTTCCTGCCGTTCGATTTCTCGCGCGGCCGATGGAACGCGGCCGATGTGAAGAGCCTGAGGCAGCCTGTGCGGCAGGTGCTTGTGAGCACAGTGTCGCTGCTGGATTATCATATTAACCGGCTGAGCGCGCGGGCAAATGTGGACCGCGTTCGGGCCATGTCCAAGCCGGCAACGCCGGTGAGTACCTCGGATGGACCCCGACAGGAGGCCAAGGAGGAGGTCGGCCAGCGGCAGATGTTGGAGAGCTTGGAGATGATTGAAGCAATGACCAGTCCGGAGTCGGAGGCGTTGCGGTCCGGGACGCATGCTATCCTGCGAGAATCCAGCGGGGAGATTCTCCAGGTGTGCGAGGAGGCTGCTGGCATGGCGGTCGAGTGCATTCACGCGGTCAACTCGCGACGCTGGCTTGGCTCGCGGGCCGCGGATCGATTGGACGAGTGTCAGAAGCTCCTGGAGAGGCTGCGCGCAGCTCGGGATGCGTTCGCCGAGCAGACCACCGAGAAGCTGATCGCGCAACACGGCGAGATCTTTGACGAGACTGGAAGTCTCAAGCGCCTCGACACCGTTGGTGGCACATCCATCAGCAGCGTCATGACCGGCTTGGCCTTTGAGGAGCTGGTCATCTCCGTCGCGGACGCTCTGGACCAGTTGCTGGCGCAGATCGTGGCTCTCCTCGAAGCCCGGCCAAAACCGCGCCTGTGGTTCCCCACGAGCATCGAATACGCCGTCCGTTGGGTGTTGCGCCGGGACGCTCGCACTCCCGTCACGGGACAGTCGTCAGATCCCGAGCCGGACGATCCTGCAGTCCAGACGGACGAGACGGAGCAGCTCTTCCGCCGGATCAGCCGGGGATACCGCGTCAAGCAGCGAAGTGGCCTTGGCCGTGTGGTGCTGGGAACATACCACTGGTTTGTCAGCGCCGAGGGTCTCTTTGCATTGCGGATGGTCATCCTGACGATTGCACTGGCGGTGCCGGCCGTTATTCCATCGAGCTCGGGGTTTTATTACCGTGAAAAAGGCCTCTGGGGACTCATCATGGGGCAGACCACGCTGCTCGTGTACATGTCCGACTTTACCTTTTCGCTCATCTGCCGGGCCGTTGGAACGGTTATCGGGGGCGTCGTAGGACTGGCCGCGTGGTATATCGGCTCCGGACATGGGCCGGGCAACCCATACGGACTGGCTGCCATTTCGGCCCCAATAATAGTGATCTTCATGTGGGGACGACTGTTTCTCAGTCCGGCACTGCTGCAAGCGACCATCATGAGTGCCGCCACATTTTTCCTCATCATCGGATACAGCTTCGCCGATACGTATGTCCCTCCCATTTGTCATTTTAGCCCCTGTCTATATGCATGCTAATCAGACCACAGGCAAATACCTCAATACGGCAACCCCGGCGTCGGCTACAACGTCTTCTGGCGCCGTCTGGTCCTGGTCTTCGTCGGCTTCGCCGCCGCACTGATCGTCCAGATCTTCCCGCGCCCGCCATCAGCAGCACGACACATTTGCACCTCGCTATCCAACACCCTCCGCCGACTAACAGACCACTACGCCCTTTTGCTCTCATGCTGGGCGCGCCCAAACAACGACCCGCGCATGGCCGAGCTGCTCTCAATCGAAGTCGCCGAGCGTCTCGCCGCACTCAACGGCCCCATAGCCCTCCTCGGGCTGGAATTCTCCAGCTCCCGCTTCGACAGCGCCAGTCTACGACAGGTCCAGGCACTCTGCCAGACCCTCAACCAGAACCTGGGCCGGCTGCTGCTGCTCTCAGCAACGCTACCTCTTGAACTACAGGAGCGGCTGGCGCGGACGTCAGGCGTGCTGGAGCAGCGGTCCATAGCGGACGTGATGGCTGTGCTGGGTGTTGTGGCGCAGGCGATTAAGACGGGGGATCCCCTGCCGGAGGTGCTGCCGACGCCGTTGACGAAGCGCTGCTATGAGTTTTGGCGCGGGGCGCAGTTGACTGAGGTGATGCCCTTGCAGACGGAGTTGATCAGGGAGAAGGCGTATCGTCGGTACTGTGTGGGGGTGATGGCGTATTTGAGGATGTTGGCCGCGGTGGATGAATTGGTTATGGTTGTCAAGGGGGTGTTGGGCGAGGCGCATATTGTTCAGCTGCCGCAGCCTCAGCCTTAGCTAGCTGTATACTCTGTATCTGTATATTTCTGTATATAGCACGAATAAGCCCATAAGTGTATATGTATACTACTATTGCGCGAAGGCTGGCGCTTACTGCATTTTGTAAGCAATGAGCGAGCTAAATGCTAACGACCCGATAGTTCTAATCACCGTTCTAAGCTATGAACAAGTCCCAATAACCCCAAGAATAATCGTAGCTCCAGTCATCCACCAACTAGCTATACCAAACGCCCCCTGAACATCCCTTTTCAGAATCCCCCAAAGCACCCCAAATACAAGACTAGGAAGAAAAAACCCAGCAGCGAGAAAGAGCCAGATCTTAGCCCAATTCCAGCCCTCTTCGTAAATAGATCCCCCATGCTTCCGCTTGCTCGAAAGACGGGGAACAAAGCTTTCCATTCAATCTCTTGGGAAGCTGCTGCATGATCAATGCGGCTCCTGACTGTATACTGTCGGGATCGTTGAACAGGCTCATCATCAGCTGCGGCCCAACGGGTGGAGATAATTTGGGAGGTACGGGGCAGCACTCGTACTCCGCTCCCATCGGGGGAACAAGCCTTGGAGGAGGGATGCAGTTGCAGGGCTTCCCTTTCTCGCAGATTTCATTGTGGCAGCGGACGTCGATGTAGGGGTGGCCTCCGTAAGTGAACTGTTTTGCATTAGCAGCCGACGAGTGTTCATTGAATAGTAAGATTAAAGGGTTTTGCGTACTTTCGTACCTTCATGAAGTGGATAGCATGAATTGTCCGTAGAGACCAGTACGATTCAAATCTCCCCTTGTGATTATGGTAGATACGGCGCAGTGCGTGGAAGAGCTCCCTGTCGTCCTTTATATGTGAAACCACCTCCTGATGCAGCGTTACCGGATGTCCCCTTCGTTCGATGCAGGACATGAGTCGAAGCGTACGACTGGAGTTCTCGCCAAGTTCAACATCCTTCTGGTCAAGACTAGTTTCGACAACTCCAGCCAGCTGGGCTTCATCAAGTATATTAGTAGTTCCGCTGTTGTGTGCCGAAGTCAGACTTGGGATCGACATCTGAGAAGTATGATGAGCAAATGTCCGGCGTTGTCCACCTTCAGAGGCGGTCTTTGTTCGTTCGACAGATGTATCTAGATAGTCCCGCAGAACCTGTAGAGCGCCTGGCTCATGTTCAATGTGTCGTCATACAGCTTTTCACCGCGTCTCTAATGGATGTCAATAAAGAACAGAAAAATGGGAACTCGAGTCACCTACGTTTGTCCACCTAAGTCTCCGATGATGCTGTGGTATGCTGCTTTCCCGAAGTCCGATACGGGAGAGGAATTGTCCTGAATTGAGGTAATATTTCCGTTCGCTTTGAGTCCTGCGAGCAAATGTGGGTGATGTGCCTATAGAATCGGAGGGAGCAGGGTGGTGTCTGAGGTTAGTAACATCCTGCTGCAACAAAGTGCTCTCTTCACTTGAGTCGCTGACTTGGTCAATGTAAACCCTGCAGGCATTCTCATCTTCACGCCCACGTCTGATTAACTTCTCATCTTCACGCCTAATTCGGGTTAATACAATTAACGACGGAATGATCATGGCTAAGGTGAACGCAGCGGCGAAGACCTCCAATGAACGCACAAAAGCCATATTGACAGTCAGTTACCTAGTGGTAGGTGCAAATATGATGATGATAAAATAATACGCTAAGAGCCGTATCAATAGGCAATGATTCAAAGAAAGGGGGTGTAAGTCGCTTAAATAACTAGACAGTAGGGGTGATGAGGCTGACAAGGCTTATTGCCGTTGATTGAGGCGCACAGGTTGTTTTTCTATTGATAGATAGGATCAATCATGGCAGCCTGCATCCTGGCCAATAGAAGGTTCGCTAGAAGACACATGTTTGGCGTCAGGTTAAGGAATAACGCCTTGATCTATGCAGTACATAAGAGGAGATACCTCGCTGGCGGATGGGTCACTGGTGAGACTTGGACAAGATGGGAGACACCGTGGAGTACACAGCAAAATGGAGACGTTTACTATGTGCCCACCAACTGGTTGACTGGTTCTGCAGCCTCAGGCATCAACTAGTTTCCCCGCCTCTAGTGCTCGTTTCCTGTCCTGACTCTAGACCTTAACCTGCAGCCTGTCATCGATCTGATCCATCACTATAGACTACGTTCATTCAGGTCCTTATGTCTAATCGTCCGTGGCAGTGCACATACTGCTGCACGAGTTTCAGCCGCGCCGAGCATCTACGCCGACACCTTCGGTCACGTATGTCTACCTTTCCGACTCGAACCGCGAACGTAGCTAATAAGAGCAGACGAGAATCTCAGGCCCTTTGCCTGTGCGCTCTGTCGGCGATCATTCACGCGAAAGTATGTTCTGGTCATATATGATGAGCATTTCTAATTGGCCTTGACAGAGACCTTCTGAAACGCCATGAGAGGACATGCAGAGTCAGAGAAGAACGGGAAGAGGTCGTGGAGGCTCCAGCGGACTTTCGGTCAGATCAGCTAGGTCGACAGAGTGAACGGGAGAGAGCCGTTATCTCGTCATGTTCAACCCGAAATGGAGACATCCCCGACCTTCCCAGCTCGGTGGACTTTGCCGCGCTGGACTTTTTATTTGCACCAGCACTAGCTTCAGACAGCATCACAATGGCCGAAAGGCTAGAATATCTGGCCTACTTTACGAGTGCCAATGGTATGGCTACGTTTCTGGACCGCGAGACTCTCAAACAGCGACAGGAGCTCCTCAAGGGAGCTGACCGACACTTGTACGAGAGAGAAAACGAAGAAGCGCATGGTGCAGGCTTGCTGCCAGAAACAATAGACCCCTCGCTCATCCACCTCTCATCCAGTCATGGGGGTTTCCTCGTTCACAAGGCTCACGAGATTACTGAACATCTTCGCCGCACCATCACCACAAAGTCAGACAAAACCATCATCAAACTGGACTGGTCCCCTGCCGCTCAACAATCCTGCTCCGCCTTTTTCTCAGCTAGTAATATTCGCCGCTTTCTGGAATATTTCTGGTCATTGTGGTACCCCAACTGTCCCATCGTGCATCGCCCGTCGTTCGATCTGGAGACAGCGCGGACAGCTCTGCTGTGCGTTATGCTGATTATTGGAGCGTGTCTGTCGCCGCATGAAGGGGACGCCCAAGCGGCTAAGATGTGGTTGGACAGCGTTGAGGAAATGGTATTCAATGACGAGGCATTTATGGAGAAAGAGACATCCGACACGTCGTCGGGTCAGCTATACGACAAGGCCGAATGGATGAAGAAGCGCGTTGAATGTATCCAGTCGGCATATCTGGTCTGCTCACTGCAGAAAAGGGAGGGGTCCGTGGAGGCGCAGGGACGCGTGAGGAGGTATCGACATGCAGCGCTGGTCATGGTGCGTCTTAAATTCCTATCTGCGAATCTGGCTAATAGAGCAGCTGGCGAGAGACATCGGGCTTGAATCGGCCACGCATCGCAACTTGCGGCTGGATAGCCCGTCTGAGTCATGGTGGAGGCAGTTTGTCATTGAAGAGGAATTGATTCGGTACGTCGGTCTCAGCTTGGTCACACGCCACTAAGTTCTAATTGGCCAGGACTCTGACGTTCGTCTTTCTTATCGATGCCGCCATGGCGATCTTCCACCACACTCCGCCACGGATGGTGGTTTCGGAGCTCAAGATGGACATGGCTTGTCCCGAGTCTTGTTTTCAGGCAGATACAGCTGCAGAGTGCTTTTATGCACTGAGGGAGTGGGAAGGGTCTATCTTCTGGTCTGAGCGACTGTCTGTACCTGGCGTGTTACGGAGGATATGCCAAGGACAGTTGGATGACCACTCCGTCCTCGAGTTCTCAAAGATGGGAACGCTGAATCTGTTTACGACTGTACAAGGTACGTTTAGCATTCTATGTTGGAACATTCCTAACGATATAGCTCTGCATTCTTTGACGTTTCACTTGCAAAACTCCTTGGTCTTCGAGTCCACCCTCGCCCCGGTCCAGACTGGGTTGGAGAACTGGCGTCGAATATGGAACGCACGACAGCCCGAGGACAAGGACATTCCCGACGAACCACAGACCATCTGGAAGAAGATCGGCTTTGTGAGGTATGCACCGGAATTCTGGCACTTGGCTCGCATCATCGTTGCCCGAATCATCGACAGTCCTGGTGATGAACAATGTCCTCTGCCTACGGAGCGGGGTCTCTCTCGCTTCGATCATACTGATATGAGAGATATTAATGAATTGATTATGGAATACCGGCAACTGAACTTGGGAGTTACGCCGTGACATTGGTTCAGGGAGCCACTGGTCTCTGTCTAACCCGGACGGTAAAGTTGGTCGGTTTCACAAACCACCTGTTCTCTGTGTCCCAATTCTCACGCCCCGTGCTGAAGTCAAAGTCCCGGACAATCCGCGGGATCAGTTTTGACATCTCCAGAATGGAGATGTGCTTTCCAAGACACGTCCTAGTCCCGAGGCCGAACTACAGTCGTCAGTATGCATATATACGAGAGATGCAGGAGACTTACAGGCATGTACATCTCGTTCATGGCTTTGAGCTTCTCCGGATTACTCTCCGCCTCGATCCATCTCTCTGGACGGAAAGTCGTTGCATCTGGGAAGACTTCCTCATCGTAATGGGCCACCCAGGTGTTGATCCCCACCACCGTGCCAGCAGGGAAGAAATAGCCATTGATCTCGGCCCCGCCGTCTGGAACCACCCTCCACAGCGGCAAGCCCGTGGCACTGTGCATGCGCAGTGCCTCCTTGATCACGGCCTGGAAGTACGGCATCTCCTGACTTTCTCTGAAGGTGACTTTATCACTGCACTTTCCCTGCGCGGCAAACTCGTCGATCTCGCGCCGGAGTTTCTCCATGACCGCGGGATAACGCAGGAGGTTATACATGATGGCCGACAGACTGATGGCAGTTGTGTCCGAGCCAGCAATGACGTTCGACAACCCCATCATAAAAACGTGGTAATCCGTCACCTTTTCCGGATCCTTGTCTCGCGCCAGCATCATCTTCTCGACAAAGTTCTGCGTGTCCAGCGGTCCCCGCTCGGCTTGTCCGAGCTCAAGCTCAGCTTTTGGTGCAGAGAGGGCTCTGATCTTCTCCTTGACGAATCGCACAATATACGCTCTCCCAGCCGCACCAGACCAGCTGAACCGGCTCAATGGCCCAAAAAGCCGCGGATGCCACTCGGGGTATATGCCCACAAGGGTACTGTACGTCATCAGCCGCTGCAGCGCGGCAATCGTCCCTTCGATATCCTCTCCGCGATCAAGGAAGCCTCCAACAGTCAGCCGCGTTCTCGCCATGCCGTGCATAATATATTCCACTCACCAAACCGCTGCCCATAGGTAATATCCCCAATCACATCAAAGGCATAACACTGGAACCAATGGCCGAGGTTGAACTCCTCACCACGGGCCGCGAACTCCTGCAGCCGCATGCAGAAGAGATCCGCGCACCTATCTACAAACGCCTCATAATGCACCAGCGAGGTCATCGAGTAGAGGCTCGAGAACCGCTTGCGCGTTTCCGCTACAATCGCTCAGCATCCATCACGGGGTGATATTCAGTAAAGTGATGCGAAGAGTGACATGATACATACCATGCCTTTTAATGTCCCGATCAGGAAACAGAGTCCACTGATTCGGATCCGGGTGCTTCCACCCCTCGTACCAGGCGGACTTGGTGAACTTGCTCCCCGTCCCATAGACGGTTTTTATGGCAGCGCGCCCGGAGATACTGTAATGGTCTGGAGCGATGCGCACGACTGGCCCGTATCGTCTGTGCAGCGCGATATTGTCTGTTTCGAAGTGGCCGGCTCGCACGCGGTGGAAGTACCAGAGTTTTGTCAGGCGGGTGAGGAAGGGGCCTGGGATTTGGCGGAGGGAGAGGGTGCGGAGGGTTGTGGAGAGAGTGCACAGGAAGGGGTAGAGGAGGATGACGATAGGTATGAGGATGATGAACATTTTGTTGATGTTAATGATGCAGATTGAGTCTTTGATTGTTTACCTGGATACTACCACTCATACTACCGTAGAGATATATGTAGTGGAGAATTGGAGATGATCTCTCCACCCCCGCCCCCACCGCCACTGTGGAGTCTGTGTATATGGGGTAGGTATACTACATAGAAGTAGAACCTAGGTACTATTCAACTATGCCAGACGATCAATGTGTTATGAGGAAAATTATGCATTTACGTCAGGCCGCCATACCCGGCTCCGACGACTAGGGCTACTTATCTGCTTCGATTCCAACGGGTATCGGGTAGATGATGGCTTTAAATGAGGCTTGGCTACTGACATAATCTGGATAAAAAGGTGAGAAAGTAATCATTCTTATCACTGGGATTCCTTGTGTTGATAGTGAACAAGAAGTGATCTCGAATCTCAGAATTGCCTAATCGGGGAACAAAGAGAGAATACGACTCTACCCAGCCAGTTGTCATTGGGTAGGACCACACGTAGGCATACATACATATAACGGTAGGTAAAAGAAAGCTAGACCACCAAATGCGATGATATACTCAATTGACAGCACAGGTGGTAATCCCTCTGCTCGGACTAAACCGGTATACTGATATTGCCTAACCCGGCTGAGACACGTTCATCAAAAAGCGGCATCGAGGAAACCCGGACACCCTCCCCTACAGAACAAAACTGATCGACACCTTTACCTAGTCGTCTATCCAACAGCTTCGACAACGACCGCGCAGCCACAAACGCCATATCCGATTTCGTCCCCAGACACCACAAGGCCGAGATACAGAACTCGCAGTTCCGCCTTGCATACTCGGACGGATCATCCGGTCTATAGCCATGCGATAGCGGCGTGATATCGTCTAGAAGAATATACGCCGCCTTGGCGAAACAGCGAATAAGGACAAGCGTCCACGGCTCAGTCAAGAACGCAGCCTCGTTCACGGCGTCGTGGTAGAACCGGATGCGGTTGGACAGGGACTCCCTGCCCTGTAGGGAGCGCTGTGCGATGGCCCCGACGGCGAGCGCGTTATCCCGTCGGAGGGTCGCGACGAAGTCGATTGCGGTGCGGGCTTCGCGGCGGCTTTCTAGACCGAGTCGGCCCTCGTCGATACCTTTGACGGTGTCTGCTAGCAGCATGGCGGCGAGATGCCAGTGTCCTGCGACGATGACGTACCACGACTGGATGCGCGGGGGGAGGTCGTCGTGGTTTGCGTTGCAGCTCTGGAAGAACTGCTTGTAGGTTGTATTCCAGTGTTGGTAGATGCGGAGGGTCTTCTGGATGATTTCTTCGAGGCGTTCGGGGCTGGCGCCGCGGTAGACGAGGGTCTGGAGGCGGGTGACCTGTCGGAAGAGGAGGACTTTGACGGGGCTGGCGTCGGAGAGGATCTCGGCGGCTTCTTCGTAGGAGCATGGCCAGCGGGGTGGGTTTGAGCCCTGGCGTGCGGAGCGTTTGTGGAGGAAGAAGTCGCCCCATAGGTCTTGTTTTTCCTTTAATGCGCGGGTGTATGTGATGTTCCAGCCGTCGAGGTCGACAGTGCTGTCGGTTTTGGCATCTGAGGGCAACGGTGAAACGGACGTTATCTGGCTGTCCTCGTCGGAGATGGCCAGCGGCCGCTGATACATCGCGGCCTGTAGGGTATCGAACATGACCACTAGCCAGAAAAGAAGGTTGACGGTTTCCTGGTGCTCGGGGTCGGCGTAGAATGCATCCGTCTGGGGAGAGGGTATATCCATACTGGCTAGATCGATGTTGCTCTGCTCTGGCGAACTTCGCGACTTTGGTTTCTGCCGCTCGAGACGTGTCAATTTATATCGGATGGAGAATAGCTGTCGCACAGCCGCCTCCATGAACAGTGGCGCGCTGTCGTTCTCCAGCAACTCATGTAACTCCATCTCCTCGTCGACGTTGAGCGGACGCTGTCCAATGGAGAAGATGATGTTCGCAAACGCAACTCGGAACGAAGGTATACCCGCTGCATTCTCCAGAGCCCGATGCGCCTGGTTCCACAGGTTCTCGCGGATGACACGCTCATGCTGCGCGACGGGCGAGGTCGGAGAAAAGCCATTGCTCCTCGGCATCTTCTGCGCCCATTGTGAGGCGAACGCCATGATTGCGGTGTGGAGAGCTCTGGATGCCATTTTCTCTTCTGCGGCGCTCAGATTCCGACCCCGGACGGAGGCGTACGCTCGATCTAGTCGACATACTCGAGTACAGACCCGGTTCGTCCAGTTCGGTCCCCATGCCGCTTGCGCTTTACTGGAGAGCCCGCTTGGTGAGGTGTATGGGACTGCCGTGTTGTAGGGACAGTTTTGCTCCGTGAGCCAGCAGGACAATGCATTCTCCATGCTGTCATGGTATATGCGGATGAGATTCTGTGTCATCATCGAGCGGGCATAGCTGTCGGATATGTTATCGGAAAGAACAAATAGATTATCTTTGGTCCCATGTGGATATAGACCGTCTGCTGGGAACGTTTGTAGACCGTCACTGCTGTCCGGTATGACAAAGCCGGGTGACGAAGAGTAATAAGAGCCACTCAATCCCGGACTTGAATCGTCAAATTGTTGAAGTAGATCCAGAGTCTCATCGAGAGAGTGCGGTCCCGAGCTCGACAAGCTCTGTTGGTAGTAGTCAAAGCTCGAACAACTGTCCTCAGCCGAGCCCGACGTTTCCGCATTGCTCGGAGGTACGTGTGCTGTATTTGCGTTCCAAAGCATGATACTGAACGGGTCGAGGTCAGACTCCCTGCTCCTCAGCGGTATTGAGACGGCGTTCGGCTGCATCGACCAAGTCCCTGGCTGATCAGTAGAACCGTTCGACGACACCCCATTCCCGGTATTGTCGGATTGCCACGACGAGGAGTACAGCATATCATCCAACAGGTCCGTTCCCGAGCCCGCTCGACTCGAGACCACGTCTCCCTCAGCTCTAGGCAAGTTGCTCACATTACGACTCTTCTGCTTTCGACCTCCCCGCGCGGTAGCACGGTTCTCAACTAACCAGTTGAAGGTGCATTCTCGATTATATTTCTTGCAGTTCGAGCACGGGATGTTGAGATTGGTCTCTGCTAGCACCCTCCGACTGCCCACCTCCTGGCGTACTGCTGAGGCTCCTGATACAGATGAAGTTGCACCTTGCCGGTCCCTCCGAGCGGGCGCATCGCAAGCTCTCTTCCCCTTCCGACAAGGATCGCAACTATGGTGTTGACGTCGACGCTCCATCGCGGCACTGACAATCGTCTCTAGACGCTAAATGATTGCCGGCATACAGATTCGGCTATTACCGGGCGCTGGCTATTGTGGAGAGAAATATTGGGGAGGGGATACGGTATGGAGGGAAACCGGAGACCTCATGGTTAGGTGGGTTTTGAAGCTTCCAGCCAAGAGGACAATGCGGGGTCTGGGGATTCGCGGACTTAGTTTTAGGGGACGGAGTCCACGAGACCTGAGTGGTTTATCGATGCCTAATTCCAGACGCACTAGATAGCGCCGTTGGATCAGTGTGATGCTCTGGTTGGTGGTTGGAGTGCGGTGGCTGTTGCTATATCCACTTCGTGTTGGCGGGCGGAGATACCCCATGGGGAATGCCCGTTGAGAGCTTCAGCTTCGGGTGACCGGAGGTATAGAGTTCTGAGTTCTAACAAAGGACTGACGGATGAAAGTTGGCCAATCATATTGCAATATTCAGAAGCAATTGATACAGCAGAGTCTAATCCTGAACCAGGCCACGGTAGACAGCAGACTCCACATCCAGCCAAAGGCTCCAAACTTGAGGATCGGCAAAGGGCAAGAGTTGAGTACAGATCATCCCTGCGACCCCTTTCTCTCTATCGCACCACCACCAGAGATTTGCCAGTCCTGCCCAGTGCGCCGTCCCTTCTGACCGTCCCGTGGGTCCACCCGTGAGCATGAATGTGAGTCCCCACCCCTGAGGTGTCGACGATGGGTACAGATGAGCTATTGGGTTGGTGAGATCAGGCTTCGAAGGTGGGATTCCCTGTGCCGCGAAATTAGGAAGATTTGGGATCTGATTGCGAAACATCTCGTCGACTGTCGCTTTCTCGAGTATTTGCTTGCCGGTAATGGGCGAGGTGCCGTCGTTTAGGAGTGTAGCAAGGATTTCTGTGCAGTAGCTGCTATCAGTATTTTCTAGAATGGCAGGAATAGTACAAGGCAACATACGACAGTACTCCTGTGGTTTAGCGAAACAGCCTGCTCCACCACTGTTGAAGCATGTCTTGATATCGTTAGAGGTCTGCGCAATTAGAGGCCGCCGAAGGAGGTGGTCGCGACCGGAGAGCTGGCCATGAGCGTCTCTTTGATTCATGTATGCCAATTTCTCCTTCATTGACGCCGATGGAAACATCGAAATGTTGTCCAGCCCCAAGGGTTCAAAGATGTTGCGCTGAAAATACTCATTCAATGACTGCCCTGTGACTCGCTCGACCATGACTCCCGCCCAGTCGATGTTTACCTTAAACACCGTTAGCAAAAAATCATAGGAGTAGCTTTGCGAGCTGGACGCACGCACCCCATATTCCCACTTCTCCCCAGGCTGATGAACTAATGGCTGCATCATATCGTAGATGTGTCCGGAGAACTCGTCGTAGCCAGCCGGCTTGCTGTAGTCTCTCAACTTCTCATTAAAGAACGTATACCCAAAGCCAGCTATGCTCCATCAGTACTTGCGTAGTTGCGTTCTACGAGGAAATGCTTACTCACCGGTATGGTTCAACAACATCCTCAAGGTGATTCCCCTACGCTTCTCAACCAAAGTCCCATCATCCTGCAACACCTTCACCTCTTTCAGCTCGGGGCATATCCTCTCAACCTGATCTGAATCGTCCAAGTTCAATAGCCCCTGTTCGACAAGCTGCATACACGCAATTCCCGTGATCATCTTCGTGCACGAGGCAATCCAGAAGATACTGTCAAGTGTCATTGACTCCTCAGAGTTACACCCACGCTTCCCACTCGCATGCGCAAAATGCTCCTTGCCATCCTTGCCGACGACCACCACCACTGCGCCTGGGATACCCTTTTCCTGGTCCACGCACGCTGCATCTACCCTCTCTTTGAGAGCAGTTACCGATTGACGAGAAAGAGAAGCCATTGAGAGAAGTAGAAGCCCGGTGATATGTGGTCAAATCCCGTTCTTGCTTGGGAGATCGAACGGGATATAACGGGTGTCGTTACCCCTCATCATATAACAACAATACCTCTTGGCCGCCATCGATCGCCGAGTAAACTCCACTTTCGAATGCAATAAGTGGGCTTGAACAACGCCAGGTTGGAGCCAGGACTGGATCTGAAACGCCTCCCCTCTGTTTGCTACCGTGACTCGGTGTTTGCGGAAAAGCACGCAGACACCTCGGTCACAACTGCGATGGTCACCCGCCAGGATACGTCTTTCAGTGCGGATCCGCACTGATATGCAAGCCAGCGGCAAAAATTGTCTGTGGTGTTGCTTTCTGCGTGCGGGGAAGATGAGGAGAGAGGTGTGGGTATGTTCTGCGTCTCCATACTGACAAAAGTACCTTGCAGACTTCTAAAAGGAGGGGAACATGAGATTTACCTCTCGAGCTTTCTTTTTATTTCCTTACGCGGAATGCATCAAGAGGGGAAGCAAGTCGAGCATGCCCATTGGTGATAGAAAGCCTCGGTTGGGTTGAGTGTGATAATGTGCTGCTGCATGCATTTGTGTAACAGTTCCAGTCTGTGTACCTTGTACACCGGCTTACACAGGTGATTCTTGTCCAAGTGAGCAAGAGGGGTTGGAAATGTTCGCCTGGGTGAGCAAGGGGTTACTTGTGAACTGCACAGGGGCATTGAGCTCACGGATACTTAAAGCAGATTGAAATCGTCGGTCACACGTCAGGTCCGTTAAACATCTCAATCAAAGTAATTGACTCAAGCTCAATCTCAACATGCACATCAGAAAGGAACTTAGCGAATATGCTTCCCTTCGAGGCACGACTGGACCCTACGCCGATAACCTCAACGTCGATGTCCTGATTGTGGGAGCCGGCTTCGGCGGCATCTACTGCCTGTATGAAATGCGGAAGCTGGGTCTCAAGACCGTTATATACGAGGCAGGCAATGATGTCGGCGGCACCTGGCGCTGGAACTGTTATCCAGGAGCCGCAGTGGACTCGGAGGTCCCAGAGTACCAGTACTCGATTCCAGAGACCTGGAAGGACTGGACCTGGTCGACGAACTACCCCAACTACGAGGAGCTGAGACGGTACTTTGACCATGTTGATCAGGTGCTCCAGGTAAAGAAGGACTGCGCCTTCAACAGCGTGGTGGTCGAGGCCCAGTTTAACAAGCATGAGGGTCGCTGGCACGTCAAGACGGCCGACGGGAGAATGGCCTCCTCAAAGTACCTCATTATAGCCGCTGGATTCTCTGCAAAGCGGTACATCCCCGAGTGGCCGGGAATGGATGAATTCAAGGGAATCGTCCACCACTCCTCTTTCTGGCCGGGAGAGCATCCAATCGATGTCCGAGGAAAGCGCTGCGCGGTCATCGGCACCGGCGCATCAGGCGTCCAAGTCACGCAGGCCTGGGGTCCAAAGGCCGGCTCGCTCAAGGTCTTCCAGCGTACCCCCAACTTGGCTATTCCCATGCGGAAGCGCTCCCTATCCGCCGAGGCCCAACAAGAAGCCAAAGCACTGTATCCCGAGCTGTTCTCCCTCCGCGAGAAGACCTTCGCTGGATTCCTGTATACATTCTTCGAGAAGAGTCTATGGGAAGACAGCGAAGAAGAACGTGAAGCTTTGTTCGAGAAGTTATGGGCAGAAGGGGGATTCCGCTTCTGGGTGGCCAATTACCGCGACTACCTCTTCGACACTGAAGCCAACCGTATCGTGTACGACTTCTGGTGCAACAAGGTCCGCCAGCGTATTGGCGATCCCAAGGCGCGAGAGCTGCTTGCGCCGCGCGAGCTACCGCACTACTTCGGCGTCAAGCGTCCTTGTCTCGAAGAAACCTACTTCGAGCAATTCAACCGGGAGAATGTCGAGGTGGTGGATATCAAGAATAACCCCATCGTCGCGTTCACCGAGACCGGCATCAAACTGCAAGATGGCTCCGTGCACGAGGTCGATGTCGTCTGCGTCGCGACGGGATTTGACGTGACCACCGGCGGGATGACCAATATGGGGTTGACCAGCATCCACGGCACGACACTTAAAGACGAGTGGAAGGACGGCACGTACACGTACCTTGGCCTGACGGTCAGTGGGTACCCCAATATGTTTCATCTATATGGGCCACAGGGACCGACGTTGCTCAGCAATGGGCCCACGACTGTGGAGGTCCAGGGCCGATGGGTCGCAGACGCGATCAAACAGATTGAGCGCCAGGGGATCAAGTATATTGACCCTCTCCCCGAATCAGCTCGGACTTGGAAGAAACGGATCAACGAACTTTCGGACCTCACACTCTTGCCTACTACCAAGTCCACGTACATGGGAGGGAACATTCCTGGCAAAGTGTTTGAGCAGGGAAATTATACGGGTGGTATACCGCAGTATTTGGCGGAGATTCGCGCTGCTCTCCCAAGGTTCGATGGGTTCAATATTGTTAAATATTAGTTGGAGATAGTGCTCAATCCATTTCTATTAGCTCCTAGTTACAAACGCTTGCTTTCATTCAAACCCGAAAGAACCAGACACCGTACCTTGCGTTTTCAACCAATATACATACCGCAAGTCCGTAGATATAAAGAAAATTTTGTCAAAGGGGAGAAAAGGCAGAAAAAAGTTACATGAGTGGGGAAAGAAAAACCCAGACACGAGAACCGTCCTGTTCAAGAGCAGATGGCCTCATCAATCACTTCCTATCACCCCAAAGCCCAACAATACCCATAGCAAGCGCAATTCCCGAGCACACCGCTCTAGCACACTGCAGCCGTCTCTCGCGCGCCATCTCCTCACGGACACTCTCGCCATTCACCGACTCCTCGGCCTCAACAACGACCAGGTCCTCATCCTTCTTGGTGCCGTTTTTGCGAGAGAAGGACATGCATCCGGAGTCCTGGATAAGACTCTGAGCCCAAGCCTTGAGGCCCAGTTCCCGGTGGAACCAAAAGTCCATTCCGTATGACCCGACGATGGATGCGACGCACATCCAGATCAGGTAGGGGTGTTTACGGTGTTTGGGGGAGACGGAGTATGCGAAGACGAGGCAGGTGTTGGCGATGTTTGTCAGTCGTAGGCCATGTTTGCGATTAAGGCGCTTGACTTCGTTCAGAGATCGGAGAGCGTTGGCGGAGGTGGGGAGAAGATTCAAGGAGGGGATCGTGACTGCGGAGGCGGAGTAGGATAGGCCCTGCGACATTTTCATTAGTCTCTTGATTCAATGTTATGGGCAAGGAGGCTGTGAAAATAAATTTTGAGTGCCCAGTGTTAAGAGACTTACTGTGAGGATGCCCAAGGACACCGTTCCCACGAATTTGGTGACGGTGATAGGGCACGCCATTATGCTATATGGATGTTAATGACAATTGTATTGATACCACAATGTCACAACAGATATCAATCTTGATCGAGTATGGATGCAGACAATGCAACGCGTGATTTGATGCAGAAGAAGATGGATCATAATCATGGAGCCCTTAGGTGGAGAAGCAGCCAAAAAGTGACGTCGGGATTATGGGCCGACCGTCCAATGGGAGGCCGCCACTTAGGTAGCTTGCTGTTTGTGCCTTACAGCCTGAGGCAGCAGACATAGAATGTTCGAGGCAGTCTTGTTCTACTATCTTAGGACAGTATCAGAGACACATGGAGGAGACTACCTAATTGGCATGTTTGAGACATATCTGCGGAGTACTATGAGAAAGGTCTTGATCGGTCAATATCTACTTGGTATGAAGCAAAGAATTGTCATGTGACAGTCAGTACAGCACACGCGCCATCAGAACACACAAAGCATGAAATGCGATCCACTACTTGACTCATAAGGTAGTACTGAGGACATCAATATCCATTTCTTTAATTGACTACATTTGGTGCTGTTTGAGGTTGAGAGGAACACAAATCATTAATTGGAACATTCCGAGGCTCCCGACCGAACAGCCGCGGCATCTTGGCCACTGTGGGGAAGACGAGACAGCTAGCTGGCCTGCACTAATGCACTAACTTGAGCTACCATCTCGTTCAATCATCTAGATATCTATCAGGGGTCTGAACACTGTTGATCTAACGAGTGCTAGAATCTGATAAACGGTTTGCGTCAATAGAACACTGCCGCCGCAGAAATGCCAGTTCCCACCGAAGACTACATCAGTGACTCCTGGAAGGAGGGCCTCTTCAGTGAGTCTCCCGTTGACCTCAAAGGCTCAAAGCTATCATTCCGCTAACATACATCCAGCAAACAAAGTCGTCTTCTGCACAGGTGGCGCAGGCACCATCTGCAGCGCGCAGGTTCGCGCCCTCGTCCGTCTAGGCGCGGACGCATGCATCGTCGGCCGAAATGTCGAGAAGACCGAAACGGCAGCCAAGGACATTGCTACCGCTCGGCCTGGAGCCAAGGTCATCGGCATTGGCGCGGTTGATGTGCGCAAGTACGATGATTTGAAGAATGCCGTCGATCGCTGCGTCAAGGAGCTAGGGGCTATCGACTTTGTCATGTACGGGTCCTCCTCGGGTTCAATGCACAGTTGCTAACAGCGAATTCAAATAGCGCCGGTGCGGCGGGCAACTTCCTGGCTTCGATCCAGCAGCTGTCGGTAAATGCTTTCAAATCGGTGATTGATATCGACGTGCTGGGGTCGTACAATACCCTCAAAGCGACGATCCCTCACCTCGTCGAATCGGCGAAGAAGCACAGGGTTGACTCGGAGACTCGTAGGTTATATTTACTTTAGGGTTGGATCGCATCTAACCGTTTTATAGTGCGGCCCTCTCCGCTCGGCACCGGCGGACGCATCATCTTCGTCAGCGCTACGATCCACTACCGCGCAATGCCCTTCCAGGCGCATGTAGCCGTCGCCAAAGCCGGTATTGACGCCTTGTCGCACACCGTGTCCATCGAGTACGGTCCGCTCGGGGTGACTTCCAATATCATCGCTCCTGGGCCAATCGCTTCTACAGAGGTACATGCCCTTCACCCTTCATCTGGGGTAACGAATTGTGTATCTGACAATCATAGGGTCTCGACCGACTCCTCCCCTCTGATATAAAGGAAACTTACACCAAGTCCCAACCTCTCGGCCGCTTCGGCTCTGTCCGTGATATTGCCGATGCGACGGTCTACCTCTTCTCAAATACCGGTAGTTATGTTTCTGGCCAGATTCTCGTCGGTAAGTAATCTATGCGACTCAAAATTAGAGCTTTCAGGCTGACGCGCGGTAGTTGATGGTGCGAGCTGGCGCATGTCCTCTGGCGGTGCGGCGTACGGGCAGCTGCAGTATCCGGATTTCCTGCTCACCGGGGATGCAGTGCAGAATGTCAAGGGGCAGAAGAAATCGAAGCTCTGATTGGGGGATAATTTTGAAACAGTGGTTTTCTCTTTGTTGGATTCGTATAGATTAGTTCCGCCTGCTCTACAGTATTATTATAAGACATGCTACGCTTTGCTCCGGATTATGTGACAATTGATAAAAAAGTCGGAGAAAGTGTGAACACAACATATCAAACAAGACATATTCATGTAAGGTAGCAACCTCGCAGACACCTGATCCGGTCGCTGCCGATTGACCGGATGATGTCTTGGACCAATCAAATGCTGTTTGTACAGGTGTCTCAGACAATGCCTTTGTGCTGTTCAATGTCCCAATGGTTCAGGCTGTGTTCCGCCATGCCAACATTGAACAAAGAACAATGACCTGAGCAAAGACATTCTATACACTCAACCCATCCTTCTGAGACTTGCTCCTTGAGGCTGAATATGTGATGTTGTCAACTCGGTATCACTACCCCTCGACCAGATGGCGTGTTCGAGGTGAGTGAACGCTTTGTAGATAACTAGTTGTATATAAGAACCTGTGCCCATCCTTGACCGCAACTTCGACTCTACATCCAATTTTCCCACCTCAACTGATCCCTCTCCAAATTTCAATACAACTTTTGTCTACACATCTATATACTTCTGTTATACTGAAGGCACCCAAAGCAGACACCAACCATGGACACCATCGATCAACTCGCCGATTTCGAATCCCTCCTGGAACAGGTAAGACATGTCAAAAACGACTGGAATGTCCCGATTCAGGATCAAGCTGAGTATTTTCACAAAACCTTAGTCCGCCAGATTGAGTCCTTCTCCGAAATAGAGAAGAAGCACTTGTACAGATACCTCAAGCTCAGCCGCCATAATGAAGAGCTCCAGGCTTCCTACGATCAGCTGAACGAGTCGCTCAGCCAAGAACTGCGCAATGTCGAGCGCAAGAATGCAGAGCTGCAGAACGCCAAAAGTGCCCTGAGAGAGGCGCAGAAAGATTGCGAGGCCAAGGAAGAGTACATCCGCGACGCCGAGACAGCGAATGCTGCGCTCAAGGAGAAGAACAACGAGCAGAGAAGCCTGATCAAATCGTACAAGCAGGATTGGAAAGCTATGAAAGAAGAGCTGGAGCTTCGTGACAGAACAATTGACGATTTGCAGACGAACTTGCGGAGCAAGGGCGCGCTTGTCGACAAATATGAGCGCGAAATCGAGCAGTATCGAAAGCAGCGTAAAGAATGGGAACGGCAAGTGGATGAAGCCGCCCAATACCTGGACGACAAGAGCGAGGTCTTGAAATGGCTCAATGAAGTGAGCAGGCCTCTGAAAGCCAAAACAAAAGTATCAGCTTCTGACGCGTCAAGTTCAGGATCATCAAGATCTGAATCGCCAAGCTGTGACATACGTAAGGTGTCAGACTCTGGAGTGGGATCAACAGATGACGGAGCAGATGATGAGGCACAGTGTACTACAGATTCGGTGAAGGAGGACAAATCACCCTCTGCGACAGGTTCGTCTAAAGACCAGCAACTGGACCTGCAGGAAAGTGCAATGGACTGTTCAAATGAGGCGATCAGCGAGGGCGAAACGAAGTCAATACGTGGTGCTACCCTTGACGAAGAAATGATGTACTTGTCTGACAGTCTATCAGCTCTGTCCATCGAACGGGGAGCATCTCCAACGGAATGCCATATGAGCGATTGTCACGAGACACCATCTCCCGCAAGCTCATATGATTTGGATTTTCTACCTCAACGGCGAAAGCGGAGAAAGCAGCGCGCAAAGGACGTTGAGGACACCGAGTTGGCGTGCAAGAGAACCAAGGTCCGCAAACATTGTGAGAGTCCCGTTCAAACTGATAGTGGAGAAAGTGCCTCATTTGATGTTCAAGATCACAAACAAGGATCGGCCGAATACTGTGCAAGTCCCGTTCAATCGGACAGCGAGGCAAATCCTTCATCCGTGTTTGGAGCAAGCGAGCAAGGATCGCCCAAGACTCCATGTCCGATAGACTGCATGAAAACCGGGCAAGCAATCTTTTCGATTTCGCGTGGAGTTCAAACTGTTACCTGCCAAATGGACGGACCGGTAACAATCCCGTCAATAGAGTCGCCGGAAGCATCAGGACGATCACGGCCCCTCCTTTTGACCAGAAGAAGAGGTCGCTATAAGGACCCTGTGTACCTTCCAAAATCATATACCAAATCCCAACGGCTGACACACCAAGGTCGAGAGCTCGGTGTTAGTAGGCCAAGATATGTCAGTATGACTCGGCCCGTGCTTAGGAGCAGAGTTGCATCTTGGCCTCTGAATCAAGCCGAGCAAGAGAGCTTTGAACAAGACGACCTTCGGCAGGAGAACAAAGAAACGCTGTTAGTGTCACCAGCTCCGAACCATGGGAACGAGTCTTTGGAAGCTGAAGCTGACGCCGGTCCCGGACTAAAAACAGTTTCACATAAACCTCCTTCCCGCTTCGGCTACAGGTTGCAAAGTGACGGCAAGGTTACCAATTCAATGAAGAAACAGGGGATCCCTGCGTTTTCTCGCACCATCATGGAAGGAAAGTGGTGGCTGCCCTTTATGACGGTGTTAGTCCTGTTGCTGTCCATACTCTCCATACTCTCTCCCGACGGAGAGCGTCAATCGTGGAATAGAGTCAATATGATGCCACACGATGCCCTGACAAATTTGCGCAAATGTCGAGACTCTCGATGTAAAGTGGCGCTGGCTGCTGAGTGGGAGATTGTTCGAAGGACCGACTCTGATCTCTTGTCTTTTGGGTGACCAGTCTCACTAGGCCTTGGCACCATATATTTAAGGAGCTTGAGGCGTTTGGGAATAGGTTCTTTTATTGGGGCGTTCTTCTGTCAGTAGACCTTTTCATATTGGATATCAAACTCAACCAAGTCCACGCAATCAGGTCCTGCCAGCACTATGTATGAGTTTGTGAAACCATTGACTGGGCACAGTGTAGATACATTTTATACATGCTGCCCTGAAGGTAGTCCACTTTAGACACCCACCTGTTTTAGGCATGAACAACACGTGACTCGTTCTCCACCTTGAGACAAAGAGACGTAAGCACCAGACCCAATTAGGACTAGCTGTATCAAGTTGCGTCACCTGCCTCCGCCCTGCGCCACCGCAGCGAATTAAAAGCAGCAGACGGCAGGCAACTGTATCGACTTCTCTTAGGCTCCCCTCCTGACAACAATAAGCATCAGAGCGATCATCTTCTCCAACCTTAACTCTTGGACCAGCCATCATTTTCATCAGATATTAGACTCTTGACACCTTCCTTTTATTCTGACTCTCTTCTTCTGTAACTTTTACCTCATGTGTGTTTTTTAAAACTCGTTGCCGACACAATGAACCTTCGTTCGTTCCTCCTCGGCGGTGCCGTCGTTCTGGGCGCCAATGCATTTCTAGTCGTCCCCAAGATAGAGGGTGATATTATCGCTCCACAGGGTGATTTCACTGGCCTCCATCCCTTGGAAGCTTTTACTGCTCAGCAACAGCAGGTCGAACTTATTTGCAAGGAGTGCCCGTTCCGCGAAGTGAATGAGAATGGAGACGTCAGCTGGACTGATGGCTTCCTCACTTCTCTGGTAAGTCCGGCTTTCCGTTCTACCGCAACCTATTGTTTTCCGAACGTATCACTAATTGTTACAGGCACTGAACTTCTCTATAGAAGATGGCGCTTTGCTGGTCAATGGCCATCAGATCTTCCCGCCACCGCCCCCTTCCGTTATCACTGCCGTTCAGCGCCGGGAATCTGACGGAGCAGAGTCCGACCCTATCTCATTGGGATATGCGGTCGAGTTCATGCCTCTTGGTGTGCCAAAAGACGCTCCTATGGAGCTGTCAGCTGTTCGATTCACTGTCCTCGATTTGGACGGCCACCCTGTTCCGCTCGATACCGTTGCCATCACCATCATCAATGATTTCAAGGGTAACATCTACATGGCGAAGACCGACTTCGAAGATACAGCTCCGAATCGCCTCTCGTGGAAACAGTGCCGTGGAAAGCCCAAGTGCCTGCGCAAGCTTCTGGTTGAACGCATCCGGGGATTGTTTTCCGCCGCAAAGGCGCGTGTTCTTGGAATGAGACGCAGACCTTTTGGTTGCGGTCGTCCTCGTCCTATGCTACACCCCTACCGCCCAGAGGGCGATTTTGATCAGGATACCGTCCCTGTCCCCGGACGCCGTCCTCACCCGGGAGATGAGGGTCCCTTCGGATTTGACGGTCGCCCTCATCACCACCATCACATGCACCACATGCATCGTGGTGGTTGGGAACGTACTGTTTCCCGCATCGTTCGCTTTATTGTTGTTCCCGCAGTTCTCGGTGTTCTCGCCGGGTTGGCTGCCAGCGCTCTCGGTATGTTGGCCGGCCAGATTGTGGTCTTCCTGTGGCAACGGCGCCGTCGCTCCACTCCCACAGAGAATGTGGAGCAAGGAACTGTGTCGGAGAAGGAGGGTCTGATGACTGACGCGTCCGACGAGCTTCCTCCTGCTTACAGTGATGATGAGACTGTCGAGGTGTCCGACACCAAGCAGTAAACAGTCGCTTGCAACACTTTGGACTGGCTGATAGGGACATGTGAGACAGCAGTTCTGTGCCGATTGGAGACGATGCCTTGGGAACTTATGCCTATGAGTTATCGGTGAACGACTCATTTATCGTGTTAAATTCGCCTACTCTGCGATCCGGATATGCCTTTCCAACATTCTTTCGGTATTCTCTGTTTGTCTCGCACTCGCCGCCTTTCCGTTTGCTTACCATCATGTTGCTTTGAGTGTTCTATAATCTCGTGGTTTAGCAAGCTTTGTTACCACTAGTTAGTAATTAGCAGCACCAACGCAATGGTCCTTTTATGTCGGTAGTACTCCGTAGCACACTAATCCATCGTGGATTGTCCTTTCGAGATAATAAGCTACAACTTGATTCCGATGTCATCATCAAACTGGTTACTAGCTTTTACTACCTTAGGATAGCGATCGACGAGCACTACCGAGTAGTGGTGCTGATGTCTCACACAACTCGACTGTCACGTGACTTCTTGCGGATGCCTTGGCCAGGAACACCACTGTTCGCCTCGCATTCCCCTCTTCCGGCCAACAACAACATCAGCGTCGGACTTGGGAATTCGTCGCAACTTTTAGTCTGTATTCGAGCATGTTGCGACTGTTTATACGATGATCCACACTTGTTATACGATCCAGTTTGGATTTTCATCCAAATTCTCTACCCGAGTCTGACTGCCGTCTGAGCTTCGGTAGCTGTCAGCTCGCGCCGGACCTGGCTCCCAGCATCCCGCACCTGTGGTCAGCGGGAGGATTTGAATCAACGTCCTATTATCTTTGACCTCCATTCTTTCAATAACTCTGTGCACACCATGTTGCAGTGGTCGTCATTCGTCCAAAAAGCCCAGTCTTTTATCGACCCGGCCAATTTCAACCTTCCGACTCTGACATCCTCCGATCGCAATCCATCCAAAGCGTCCCTCTTTCGTCAGCAGTTCCGTCTCCCTGATTCCCAAAACCCATTGCAGGAAATCACCGCCGAGTTAATCCTCCCTGTTCCGCATACCTCTCCGTCGGCTGCGTCCCAAGGCGATCAGTCTCGGCCACTCGACCGTGCAGGCAATCGGTATGCCGGGAGACTCCATCTGAGCGAACGCTTTCTCTGCTTCTCCACGCAGCCGACCAGCTTCGCCCCTTCCGCGACACTCAGCGCCTCTACGCAGTGGACCGGTCAGACGAATGGCACCGGGCCTTCCGGCAATGGCTTCACCCTTCCGCTCTGCTGTATCCGGCGGGTGGAAAGGCTGAATAGTCTCAGTCACGTCTTCTCACTCGCGTTGACTACGTGGAATGGCGCTCTGGGAAAGCAGCAACCTCCGGGTTTTGTTCCGCAGAAATTCACCATCCAGCTAGTGGGAAGCAGGCAGGCCTGCGAACGCTTTTGTGATGGTTTAAAGAAGGGGCTCCGGGAAGCGATGAAGGAGATTGAGAATCTACGGGTGGTTGTAAATGACTGTTACTCGGAATACTTGCTTTCGGGGGCCAAGACTAAAGACCAGAACCCAGACAATGCCGAAGCACGCCAACCCCCAGATGCTGGGCTGGGAATGATATTCCGTTATCCTGGTGATGCTCGCAAACTGCGGGATCGCAGCAAGATGAGACTATGGGGGGAATACTTCAGAGGTATGGAACATTGCAATGGATAGAGAGCGTTCATTAAGATTTCTTGCGATCTAGAAAATGGCCGGAACGCAACATTAGTTCGGCAGCCCACCTTTCATAAGCTGATTCGCGTCGGTCTACCAAATCGTTTACGTGGAGAGATATGGGAGGTGACTTCTGGGTCTTTGTACCTGCGGCTGAGGTCTCCCAAACTATACACAGATACTCTGGCCAAATTCTCCGGTCAGGAGTCTTTAGCAATCGACGAAATCGAGAAGGACCTGAACCGGAGTCTCCCAGAGTACCCCGGCTTCCAAAGTGAAGAGGGCATTGGCCGGCTGCGAAGGGTCCTGACAGCTTACAGTTGGACTAATGCGGAGATTGGATATTGTCAGGCTATGAATATTGTTGTAGCAGCTCTGTTGATGTATGCCAGTCCCCACCCTGCTTACCACCCGCTGCTGACCCGCACAGATATACGTCAGAGACGCAAGCGTTCTTCCTGTTGTCCGTACTGTGCGATCGTCTTTTGCCAGGGTACTATTCCACAACCATGTACGGCACCCTGCTGGATCAGAAGGTGTTCGAGTCATTGGTAGAGAAGACCATGCCGGTATTGTGGGACCATCTTTCCAAGTCTGATGTTCAGCTGTCCGTCGTTTCACTTCCTTGGTTTCTCTCGCTATACATCAACTCTATGCCTCTGGTCTTTGCATTCCGGGTGTTGGATGTCTTTTTCTTAGAAGGCCCAAAAGTACTCTTTCAAGTCGGCCTTGCCATCCTGCGCATCAACGGCGAAGAGCTCCTGGATGTCCAAGACGACGGGTCTTTTATTTCAGTCCTCAAATCTTACTTCTCGCGTCTGGATGAGTCGGCACATCCGAGATCGGAGAATCCCAAATTGAGAGCCATCACGCGATTCCAGGAGTTGATGGTTGTTGCGTTCAAAGAATTCTCCGGCATTACACATAGTACCATCACTGAACAGCGTGAGAAGCACAAGGACGCGGTTCTCGAGAATATTGAGAGTTTTGCTAAACGCACATCCATTCGCAACCTTGGCCCAGACAGCAAACGCCTCAGTATGGATGATCTGGGTCTCATCTATGACCGATTCTACGAAGTGCTGTACGACCGCCAGCAGAGGCAAAGGCTTATCGAAGAGGAAAAGAAGCGCCAGGAGAAGAAAAAGGCCGAACGAGCTTCAATACTCGGTCCTCCCGTAGACCGCGAGGTGGGCCGCGTCGGCCTCGGACCCAGCCCAACTCATATGGACTATGATGCTTTCCGCGATTTCCTCGCTATTACAGCGAAATGGGCTGTTACCGATTCTCCCGGACCGTCGCGGAAGGAGTCATCGGCCGATATGAATGGCAGTTTCCGAGGATTTGGCAAATGGGCTTCTGGAATGAATCATAAGCCTGAACCTGCAGACCACGAATTCATGCAAAGGCTGTTCCGCAAGTGGGCAACGGACCCATCCGAAGGTCTAAGCTTGCAAAACGTGGTAAATGGCCTTGCACGGCTGAAGGGCACTCGGGATATCATGAATAGCATTCACTATTTTTTCGACCTGTATGATGATAATGGCG